GTCCCGCTCCAACTTGCTGAGGGTCCGCACCAGCTCCTTGTCCTCTGCATGCTCAGCCAACTTGAAGTTGGGCTGTGCAGCTTGGTGAAAAACGGCAAGGTGGCCTTCACCCCCTCATTGAAGCCCAGAGCGAAGGAGCTATCGCCGACGTCGTAGAGGAACTTCTCGGCGAGGGGGGCCTTCTCCAGCATATGCACCCCGAAGGCCAGACGATCCTTGGGCTTGTGCTTTTAGAGCTCGGCGGCAAACACATCTGGGCAGAGATCATGAAATCCCCGGTATTTTCATACCCAGAAGTATCCACCAGCCACTGAGGGGCCTCATCTTTTAGAGCAGGAAAGACCGGGACGAGCTTGAAGCCGGCCTTCTCAAAAGCGGAAACTTGATCAAGGGCCGCGCTCAGGGCGGCCTTCAGCTCCTTCTCCGCAGCCTCCTTCTCCTGAAGACGGACGGCTTTGCGGGCCTTCTTTAGAGCGGCCTCTGCCTTATTCTTGCCTTGAAGGGAGTCCGCATCCCTGGCGGCTTCGACTTGGAGCACGCAGAGCCCGATCTGCAAGAAAGAACATAATGTATAAGGTTACAGGCATCCGAAGTTTCACTTCCGATTATTCGACAAAAAGTACAAAGACATACCTGAAGGGCGACCGCCAAGGCAGCTCTAGTGGCCTCCGAGGACGTCCGGGATGTCAGTTCCACCCCGGACTAAAGGGCGATCTCCCTCCAAATATCGTCGGACGGACGTCTCAAGGGGGGAAGGACGACCTCCTCAGTCACAGGGCCCGACGATTCGGCATCACGGGGCCTTTTCGGCCACTTTGCCTTGATCTTCTCCCCACCCTTAGGGAGGACCGATTTTAGGGGCGCCACGAGCTGGGGGGCGCCGAATTCAACGTTGGGGGCCTTAGACCCCGTGCCATCACAGTGGCAATCAGGTGCTGCTCCGCCTCAACCGTACGTCGATCAGCCTGCGAGGCGGAAGAATTGAAGTCAGAGGCTATGACAGCCTTGGCTTTTGCAAGTGCAACATCAGCGGCGGCGCCTTTGGCCCTCCTGTTCCTCAATAGCTTTTCATTGTTCATTTGTGCTTCGGTGGGAGGGGGACCTGAAATAAGAAACACACAAGGAGTTAGCACCGGGCGGCGTGGGCCCTTAAGGTACTCACCTTGGAGGACAGGACCGCCCGGATCCCAGAGACGAACGTAGAAGGGATGGGGATTCGAGAGATTCGGGCGGTACCTATTCCTGCCTCGGAAAGCTTCTCAAAGGTAAGAAGATCTTCCACATCCCGGATCCTATCTGCCATCATCTTCTCAACTTGCTTCTCCAACTCTTTCGACAATTTCGGGGAGCCGATCTTAGGGGGATACCCATTCCAGCGGACCGGCAGACAAACGTCCTCGTAGCGGAGGAAGAACTTGTTTTTCCACTCATGGACGGACGTGCAGCTATGCTCAGAAACCCATCGGAATTCTGAGGGGTGAGCCGGAAGAAGTAATGGAATAGCTCCAGGGTTGCGGTTACTCCCGTAGCCTTACAGCGGATGAGGAACGACGAGATGAAACGGTAGGAGTTGGGCATGAACATGCGCAGGGGCCACTTGAAAGCAAGTAAAAAACTCGAGGTAAAAGGGATGAAGTGGGAATCGCAGCCCTGCCCTAATAGAATCAAAGTGCACCATGATCATCCTCGGACGTCTCCTCATCACATGGCTTGCACCTCGAAGGCTGTAGGTGAATGGGGGGAGGGGGCAGTAGATACTGAGCTCCTTAAGGGCTTGATTTGAGAAGAATTGTTCATGCCCAAGAACATTATTGATGGGGGCAAATGTGACGCTCCACATCGACTATAAGGCCCAGATCAAACACCTCTACATTGGATCCATCCCCGGCCTCATTACTCGAGTCATAGCCTTCTAGACGTTCATCGCCAGCGATTACTTTCATATCCACAGCATCAGCCATTTGGTTTACTACCTCTTGGGCAACATTGCCCCTACCTCCCTTGGAGTTGGCATCATCCTGAACCGCGCTGGCCGAAGTAGAACTCACAGAAGCAGAGGCACCAGGGGATACTGGCGTCCCCGGAGGAACGACAACCGGACTCAGAGCCAGAACTGGAGCTGGAGCCGGAAGAAGAGCCTGAACCAGAGCTCGACGAGATCTCCATCGAAGTCATTGCAGAGCCAAAAGGAGTTACAAGAAGGGAAAATAAAACTAAAATTACCTTGGGAATAGCAGAAGCAAGTCAAGAACCTTGTCAAACGAGCTGACTGCAGAACGACGAAGATTCTAGAGCGAGAAGACGAAAATCGGAAACCCTAAGCCTCTGGGAAATTATGGTATTTATAAAGGAAGCATCGTTTCATAAAACCAATGGGGAAGTGACGCATGGCGAGGAGCGTATCCGGGGTACGTGTCGCACCGTTTCTGCGGCAGCCACCAACTCGATTCCTGAACCATCGCCAACCCAGTAGCACCGCAGTTAGGTATGTCCGCCTCCAAGACCTCGGCGAGTGCAGCCTCGCGTCAGGAACGTCTCACCCGAAAACACCTATACTTCCTTATGTCCCACGCATGCTTGGAACATCAGAAGTGGGGGACTTGTGTTGGGTTAATGGCCCAAATAGAGGATCGGCCCATTTACCCCCTCATTCAGACAAACGTCCAGCCCAACAAGGCAACCCACCCGACGAGCGTCCAGCCAGGACAACGGTGGGTCACGCCCGCGGACAAATGCCACAGTGATGAACATCTGCCCCAAAAGCCCATAACCGCATGATGGCCCATCCAATCTATATGATAAATTCTCCCAAGGGGCAGGATACGAACGACCCGTGACCTTTGCGAGGGTCATCGGGAGCAGGCCCCAAGCAGAGGGACGTTCGTCCCCACAAATTAGGCGGGAACCCAATTCCGGCGGGAAGCGCATTTAATGCTGAAGATTTGGTGGTTGGGACATCAGCCATTCATAGCTCTCCACATCAGCATGGCTAACTTCCCATTGGTGGTATAAATAGTAGCATTCATTTCATTGTAAAGGGTTGGCGACTTACTATACTTAGCACTCTAGCTTATTACCTTATTACTCGCAGCTCTTCTACTGCAGTATAAGACGAACGACCTTCAGCCTTAGCAATTGTATTGTACCGGGGTGTTATTCATCATTAATAATATCCGGTCCCTACTCATTCATTATTTCCTGAGCCCATTTTACTTGATGTTGGATCAGTTAACTCACCCACACTTAAACAATCCATTCAAAATCCTTGGGCTTATGTGTTGGACCCGAGGGTTGAAGGAATAAACCTCAACACTTGGTCATTCCACCTGCAATAAGGGTAAAGAACCCATTATTACTGCAGAAAACCCTACACATTCGGAGGGTCCCATCCTTCTTTTTCACACAAAAACAACCGGTACTCCCTAAGGTGAATAGCTCGTTCTAATGAAACCGTTATCCACTAGCCCTTGCAATTGGGGTTTCAACTCATTAAGTTCAGCATGTACCATTCAGCATGGTGGTATAGAGATTGGTTTGGTGTCGGGCTCGACCTCGATCACAAACTCAATCTCCCTATCCGGTGGAAGCCCCGGTAGGTCTTTAGGGAAGACATCCGGGTACTTACAAACCACCCTCACGACATTGATATTCGTCTCCTCCTTGGTCTCGTCAACCATGTATGCAAGATATGCGTGGCATCCCTTTTTCATCATACTCCTCGCTCTCACGGCGGATATGATACAACTGTTTGATTTGCCTCGATCACCCTCGAAGCGTAGGGTATTCCCATCATTGCCTTCGAGTTCTAGAATCTTCGTATAACAATCGACCCTAGCATGATGCTTTTCGAGCCAATCCATCCCTATGATTGCATCGAATTTAATCATACTCAGTGGTACGAAGTCACACGTCAAGGTTTGGCCATCGACTTCCACCTCACAAGATGGATAGTAACTAGTTCTCTCAGCATCATCCCCTAGTGGTGTTGATACCACTAGGGTTTGTGTCATCAGTATCGAATGTATTTCTAAGTCCTCGGCGAACGCCTCACTCACGAATGAACGTTGTGTCCCGGTATCGATAAGGATTCTCGCATCTCTTCCATTAATCCTTAAGTTGGAGTTATCTTCAAAAATTCATTTGTCTGCCTTTCCGATTGAAGTTTTAGCCAAAATTTGGTATGAGTAAACTAGACTCAATGAAGAAGATGCTCAAAATAATTCATCAAAAATTTCCACCGGGTACCGCCCCAAATGACGACGGCCGGACAGAACCTCCTATAAAGGGATTATTTGAACTTTTTATGTAAGTTCGAGGGTCTATCTGACTCTTTTCTCTCCCTTAATAATATAAGAAAACGGTTCTTCCGGTTGAGTTCCGGATCAAATCCGAAATAAATCCAATCCAATTTTCAGTTTCTATTCATTTGCATATCCCGTCCCGATCCGGTGTGGTCCGGTCAGGTTCTGAAGTGCTTTCCACCCCTAGATGTGGGGGAACAAGGGTTAAAGTGTCATTTCAGCTGGGATATACTATGGATCATTAAGGTTGTTTTTACTTAGATCATTTTCAGTTCCAGACCAGATCATACCGGACTTAAACATATCAGATCACACCAGACTTGAACAGATCAGACCAGATCAGATTCCATAGTTATAAAATACACAGACACCATACATTTATCAGACCAGACCAGAATAGTTCAGACCTATAAAAGCGCTTTATTTTCTTACTCCGTATGATATTATTATGGGGGCGTTTGGAACTGATTCTGCTTCTGCTTCTTTTTTAAAAGCAGAAGCAGAATCAGAATCAGTTTTCAGAAGCTGGTACCTCCCAACTTCTAAAAAAACTGATTCTGAGAGTAAATTAGAGCTCCAGAAGTGTTTATGGAATTTCACCCAAACACTCCAGCTTCTGCTTCTGCTCCCTGAAGGAGCAGAATCATGAGAATCAGATCCAAACACTCCTATATAGTACGGTCTACTCTCGGGAAGAAACGTGCACCAAATATTCTTGGCATTTCGTTCTAGAAAGAGGATTTTGGAGTGGGAGAGTTTGCAGGGAGGAGACATGCCTAATTTCAGCCCAACAGGCAACACTTGTGGTTCTTTCTTCTTCTTCTTCTAATTTTACCGGATCCCAATTCCCGAAGGTCCCCTCTCTCTTTCTCTCTTCCTTTCAATTTTCAGCTACTACCTATCTATGAATATGCAGTTTCTTCGTTTCCGGCGTGCCTTAAAAAATATGTGGGGTTTTGAGGTTGTGGTTTAGCATACAGGCTGCACTTTGTTGTTCTTGTCGCCGTTTCTTTTGATTATCTGCTACACCTGTGGGGTTTGTATGTATGCATGTGGGTTTGAGGTAAATCAGGTCATGGGATGTTTTTATAAGAGACGATTCTTTAGTTGAGTGCAAAAATGAATGAGTAAAGGTACTGCCTTGTTTTGGTATTTTCCGAAAAACTACCTGGGTTTGACCGCCTACTTGTGTGTAAGCAGTAAGCAGTTTTATCCTTTTTTTGTTTTCAATAACGTGTCTTACTCTCATGAGTTGATCTGGGGAAAGGATCTGGAGAAAAGAAGAATAACCATTGAGGGGTTTGCTGACTTCATGACTTTGGGGCCAATATGCATGTTTTTTATTGGTTTTTAACGGCTGTGTAATCTGATTTCTCCATCCACTTGGAGCTTCTCTGGGTATTGGTAACAGTGAAAGGGAGATACTTGTTCATTTGATTAGATTAGGTATCTATAATTGAACAAGAGAAAGATCATTTTGACATTTTTTCAGAAAGTGATGTCTTCGTTTGAGGATATTTAACTTCCCTCTATCTCTAGACACCATTGGAACCCCACAAGCTATATGTCATCCCTATTTGGTTAGCCCCCTTTTTCCAAGTCATCCGTTTACTAATTTGAAATACTTCTTCACAATCTTTTCTGGTTTAAAATCTTTTGGATTGTAAGTTGATGATTTTGTTGACCTATTGATCGCTCTTCTTGGTGTGGAATCACTATGAAGCAGTTCCTAGTTCCAAGTACAGAACCTAAAGAAATATTTGGGGCTTAAAAGCTTTAAATTTATAGTCCTCAGAAAGGTTTAATGGCCTTAGTTCCTGTCTCAAATTTTCCAGTCCTCCCTGTTGATTGTGGTTTAAATCACGCTAATTGATGTGATAGCATTACTTGAACATTGATGAGAAAAGAGTGACATACAAATGAGACTGGCACAGATTTTAACTCCCGTATCCTCACTAGCCTTTGAGTTCTATCTTATCCAAAAAACTGTGGGGCAAATATAAACATATGTGCTGTTTTTCAACATAGCTTTGTGCAATACCATTTTCCTTCTTGCCTGATTAATTCAATGCACCTTTAGAGTCTTCTTGGAACCTGGGTAAGTCTAGGCAAAGAAATTGGGTGAAAATTAAATATAGCTTTGAACTCTCTATTTATGATATTTCTTCAAAATTATCTTATTTATTTATTTCTATCATATAGAGTCAACTAGCAAATCCGATTATGCATTTATAATAATCTTATATCGTTAACATATCTGATTATGCATTTTTTAATAATATTATTTCTTTTTTTTTTTTAAATTTATTTTTCCCTAGTAAGCCAAACATGTGTGAAAAAAAATTCCTTAGTAATTTCTTTACTCTCCTAGCATTTTCCAAGATCCAAACATGCTCTTAAGCTATCCTCCTTTTATGCCCATATTTCTTGCACAAATCTTCATCAGGAAATGAAACATCTAAGCCTTCAATTACAAGGTCAGAACTCGCCTCCAGCTCAGTCATCGTTGTTTCTGTCTCAACTAGAAGTTACTGCTACAAGAACTGCTTCTCAAGATCAGTCTTGTGTTTCATCTGGATCGGGTAAGTATTCTTATTATTCAACTCCTTAGTAACTTTTCTTCATTATTCCATAAAATGATGCTATTAAGTTATTAACCCCACTCTTCTTTTTTCTATTGACTTGCTAAGAAAGTCATGGAAAACAATTAGCTGCTCGAATCAAGCCCATGTTCTTCATTGGCAATCCAGATTATTCTGTGAGTCCGTCCCAATGTGAAATGAGTCATTCCACGGTATGTTACAACTATGGTTCATTTGGAAACAAGAAAATACTTGGGAAAGAAAATAAAAATAATAGCATTAAACTCAATAAATTCATGTTGTATACTTCCTCCGTCCCAAAATGATGGTCCTGTATTTCCTTTTTGGGATGTTCCAAAATGATGGTCCTGTTTCCCTTTTTGGAAAGAAAAATGTGGTCCACATCATTTCACCGTTTTCTACTCAAATCTCAACCACAACTTTTACCTTTTCAACAACTTTATTAAAATTTGTGCCCAAAAGAAATGAGACCATCAAATTGGGACGGAGGGAGTATTTTATATACCCATTTTACTCTTTCATGCTTATTATATAAAAAGATCTACAAATTCCAAAGATATGTATTAATTAAAAAAAGTAATTACATTTTCGTTTTCCGATGCATTTACCAATATTATTCTTTCATACCCCTACTTTTGAGGGTTATTATCTGACTTCTCAGGCATTAAACTGATTTTTTTATTTTTTTGTTTGTTATTATGTCAGATTCACTCTCAGTACAATTACACAGATCCGTACTACAGTGGGTTATTTACTGCTTATGGACCTCAGCCTTTTGTGAGTACTGTGTTTCTTCTTTTCCGTGTGCTGCATGGTTGTTTTGTTAAAGTTAAGAAAATTGTCACTACTATTTATTTCTTTAAATACTTTCACATATTCACGTTCTGCTTATACTCATTTTGGTCGGGGGATGCTTCAAGTGTTTTTATTTTTATATGCTTGAGAGTGCTTCGTTTGCTTTGATGGCAAAAAGTTTTTAAGTTCTGTTTCTAAAGTATTATTGAGTTAAAGAAAAAAGAGATTTTGTAAGGGTTTGTTTGAAAGCTGGAAATGCTAGGGGAAATTTGCAAGGAGATGTTGGCCGAAAGTATAACTGACCCAATTCAACTAATCTATTATATTTAATTTTTCTAATTATTTATTTGTTTATATTTATTATTCTCTACAGACTTAAAAATTGAATCAAACATACCCAGTATGTCCCAGCTGCAAAGGAGGGATGAGATGCACAATATACCAACCTGAGTACCTGACCCCTCCCTAGGATTTGAAATTTTATAAATTTTGTAAAATTTAGGAAAGAGTTCATCAGCAACCCTCCATTAATTACTTTTTGAAAAAAAATAATTCACGACAGTTGTATTAACATTAACATTTACCAGATTAGTTGACATGTGCCACAAAATATCCATAATGGAGAAAAGTTAAATTGACAAAAATGCCAAATAAATGCCAGATCAGCAAGATTCAATGCTGTTAGTGTGTAGACCCATCTATGCTAACGGCGCAGTACCACATATCTTAGTTTTTGTGAAAACAAACCACAGACCCTACATCTAAATGTGCTCAATCACATGATACTTTTTATGAACTTTTCCAAACATCCAAAGGTGAAAAGTAATGTGAAGTGCACATAAAAGTTACAGAAATGTTAGCTAACGTCACAACGTAACCCCTGAAATTTGATATTCCGATATAAAACCGAACATTAAGATTTTCCTTGGTATTTTTCTCCTTTCATCTTTCATTTCCAGGATCCAAACATAGCCTAAAAGATTACGGATATAATATTATTAGTTTACCCTTTTCCTCTATTGTTTCGGCTTGGTTATGTGTTCCTGATGCAGCCTCAAATGGTTGGTGTTGCGCCTGCTCGGATACCATTACCTATAGATGTTGCAGCAGATGATGGACCAATTTATGTCAATGCAAAGCAGTATCACGGAATACTAAGGAGGAGACAAATACGCGCGAAACTTGAAGCACAAAACAAAATTGTGAAAAACAGAAGGGTTTGTATTTAGTTTTACTCTCTGGGATTTTCAATAACTTCCTAGTTCTAAAATCCAAAAATCTTTTAATCTTGTGTTTAAGAATCTAAATGTACAAAAGCTGATCATTTCAACACATATGTATGTGTGAATACTAATGAGGGGGTATTTAGGTATGCAACTTGAAAACTTGCTTGTGGTTTCATAGCATTTTTCAAAATGTGTTTTTCGGTTGTGGGAACGCCAATGTGGACCAGGCTGCCTTTTTTTAAAAATGTTTGTGGTTTTTATCTTTCAAAACCGACTGTTTGAAATAGATTTCAAAAATGTGGCTGGAATTGATGATTCCTTCTAGCTGCACCTTTTACTAAAATTTGAAGTGTTATAGACGTGTTCGTGGTGATTAAAGACTCATTTTTTGGTATGTGCTATGTACAGATTGATCAAAAAGGTAAAAAAGCCGACTTTTTGGAGTTTTTTTTCATAAATAACAAAGCGCAAACTGCTCAAATCAACAAGTTGGAACATCTAAATTGTTGATTTTAGCAATTTTGGTGTATTTTTTAATCAAAATAACAGTATTGTGAGATGAAATGCTATATTATTTTCAAAAAAATGATTCATACGCAGCTGATGGTTAATGATTATGGTTCTCATTTCATAATTAAAAAAACAGCCATATCTGCATGAGTCTCGCCACCTTCATGCAGTTAAGAGGGTTAGGGGATCAGGTGGCCGTTTCCTTGGCACAAAGAAGCTGGTGTTGCAAGATTCTTCTTCTCCGGCCACTGATGCTATTCTGCAGCAGCACAGTGCCTCTTCTCCGCACATCCTGAGGCCCCAAGCTGCAGCTGCTGCTGTCTTCCAGCAGCCTGATCACAGACTCTTGGGCATTTCATCTCACATGCAAGGCGGGACCCGGGAGTATTATTCTCCTATTGTTCTGTGATTGAGGATTTCCCAATCTCTCGTAATTCATTTGCCGGCATTTCATCCTTGGCTATTGTTACTTTTGCTCTCTAGTTTGTGGATTTGTCCTACTCGCTCGATTACTAACTGCAAAACGTTCTTGACATCATACGTTTCAGAGAATGCTTAATTCCTCGTCATACTTCTAAGGTTAAACTGATAAAGAAACAACTTGTCTGTATGATTATATGAATTAAGACTGTTAATTGCTTTTTTCTCTCTGCATGCAATAGTTTTTAGTTCATTTCGTTTTGCCTAATTGCATTATTACCCATGATTTCAACTTGAGGTGGACCAGTTACCAGTCCTAGACCGGCCCAGTGGGCAGTGGTCATAGGACCGGAGGTGAACTGTTCAAATCTGAGTGGAAAGAGTTGGTTTCAAATGAGATTTTGAAGCGAAGATTGCCCTTTAGTTATTTTTGCAATTCTATGAATCATCTTGTTTATCTTTTGGAAATCCATCTAAAGTTGTGTCAATGAAGGGTTTAGGAGGTTTTTGAAGCCATTGCAGTTAGTATTTTGAGCCCTCCGGTGATCTTTACTCTTTGCCTTATCAGTGAAACATTTTATTGTGTAATAATTAAATTACTCTCAGTTTCATAGTTTTTTTCGAATTAATGCTAATTAATTAATTAATTACGAAAATAATGCTGGAAAAAAAGTATTTACCGATCCACTGTTGGTTTAATCATGGTCAGGGGAAAGTCGCCCAACGGTCGGGCGACTTATAAGTCGCCAAACGGTTTGACGACTTATAAGTCGCACAACCGTTGGACGACTTTCCCCTTCCATATGAACGCAGACCAGCAGCTACTGCCAGCCACGCACGATCGTGTCTGCAAGGGTAGGCATGATCGTGCCTAATTCTGAAAACCTAATTTCAGCATGTTTTTTGCCTCAGTTTAGTCCAACTCATATGTTTGTTATAAATAAGGTCTCCCTTCTCCTGTTTAAGTGTTACGAGCCAGATACAACACATTATAAAACATACATTACACCTGTTCACAAACACATACATAACACCTACTCTCAACAACATACAAAACACATTGTAAATACCCTTTACAAATTGAATACAAAACCTTAGATTCATAACCAGTAAAACACAGTACAATCATCCAATATTCATAACAAGTAATCATCTAGTATTCATACTCGAACACATCAAGACAACATACAAGAGTTTACAAGAGAAATACGTAAAATGTTGTAAATTGTTCCTACAACATCTACTGTACAAGAAAAACTGCAATACAAAAGACAAACTACAAGTTCTCATGGTCATCTTGATCATCTTGGTCATGGAGATGTTGCTGCTGATGTCTACGCCTACGTCGTGGACGTGGTTGAAGAATCACTCTCTCATGCTGCGTTTGGGATGATGAAGGCATGAAGCCGCCGCTGCACTAGACGTCGATGACATCTCCTGAGATGGGGGCATGTGTATAAGATGGCCGTAGTTGACTCGCCCCAACGCTTCTGAACACAAGGAGGCAATGCCTGTCAGAGCCTGTCCATACATGTCCACATCATGACTATCACTCACTGTGGCAGTAGCCCGCTGATGTATACGCTGCAAAGCTCGTGTCTGAAATATGAAACACAATTACAATTACATTGAAATACATACAAGTATTAAATAAATAAAATGACTTACTTTACTATTTAGTAATATACTCACCGTAAGATGCAAAGCCAAGGAGCTAGGCTGATAATGATGAGTAAGGAGTCTGAACGAAGGAGACACAAACAAACGAGTGATGCTGTAATACCATCCCATGTAGTCTCCTGAAACAGATGGGACAAATGTCGGTGTCCCAGTCACAACTAGCTCAGCTCGCCTGTCCCACAGAGTGACGTATCGGACATGTCTCAGTGCCCAATCCTCCGTATGCTTTCCACGCCTATCCAGCCTATGAAGCTCTACATAAGTGTCGATGGGCCGTGGAATGACCTGCTCAAACCCAAACTGTCGCAAGACTCGATCAGGCAAATGAAGCTCAACAATGTCAAAACATATCAACGGCACACGTGCTCGCCATATGTGACCATGCTCTCATCCAGCTGGGGGCAACTCTGCAAACATCTCGGCTATATACGACATCCATGTAATCTGTTTCATAAAGATACAAAATTAGTATTTATGCTATACATATTATAGTTAATGTTATATTACCCACACCATACCTGATCCTCAGACATCCGATCAAATGCATCCCTGTAGACACCGAGCCCAGTAACGGATGACATGCGACATAGACCTGCATATAGCCATCTAACCATTCATGTAAACGTTTCATTGATATAGATATTATTAATATATTTACATTCAACATACAATAACATAAATACCAACGATTGAAAACATACCGACGGCCCAGAGGATCCTCGCCCCGTACATTATGTGGTCCCAGAAGACGTGGAGGCTCATCAGGCAGTTGGTGTCCATCAATGCCAAGATATGCGACTACAATGGGACGCCCAATGTGGATATACTCCCATGACCAAATCTGGAGGAGTAGCAAAAATCCCCTAAACTCTGTGCTCCCTCTATGGCAGCCGTGACACAGCTGTCTATAGAGATAAGCCAGCGTGGCACTACCCCAGCTGAACTGTGTTGCTACATCAAACCTCTAACATAGGCAAGTGTAGAACCTGAATCTCATTTCCGCTCTTGTCAGCGAAAATGGAGGCTCCCATCATCATCAAGATATATGCCCGCACATGCTGCTGGATCATCACCTCATCACCGTCCGGAGGAAGCACCAGGAAGTGCTCCCTCAACCATGGCATCCTCAGAGATGACCCCTGAAGGTCAGTCCGAAGAACGGGGCGGATACCTAACAACCGCTCACACTCATCTACCCACTGTCAACAACCAGTGCCTGTAACAGCTCTCCCATCAACTTGTAACCCAGTCAGTATAGCAACATCTCCCAAGGTCACTGTCACCTCACCAACAGGAAGGTGAAATGTGTGTGTCTCCTGCCTCCAACGCTCAAGAAGAGCAGTGAGTAGCGCTCTATCGAGAGGGACAGTAGCCACCAATCTGTGCAGACCATAAAAGTCCACAGCACGGACATATGCAAGTACTCTGTCGTCCACGTGCATATGCGACAAACCCCGCAGGTGCTCGCGGCACCTATCAACCTGAACATCGAGGCCAAGCCAAACATCCTCACTCCTGTGCGAGGCCTGCAATGTCAGGACATAACGATCACTCGGCCCAGGATCCGTTGTCACCTCCATGCCTACAAACAAACAAAATTGTATTAGTTAATTTTTACTTTTTTTTTTTTAGACCCGGTAGGTAAACCACCTAAGTCGGTGGGGTAAATGCCGGGGAACATTTACCGAGTTTTATTGAGAATCAATTTAAAAGTACATAGAAAGGGGGACTAGACCAAAACCTTTCCAGAGAGGCGTACCTCCCAAAAAGACATCAGAAAGCTAAAAAACAAAGACATCGATTGGGGGGACCAAACCTTACCCAACTGATACAACAAACTTTAAACTAGCCATCTAATAGAAAAATAAAACAAAACGAATTTTCAGTACATAATTCGAAATGAAGGAAAACCAAATAAATCCGCATAATATGCCTTTTGGGCCAGATCTGGAAGTTGAAGAACCTGAGTAAAAAAGCCATAATGGACCGACGGTTGGGCCGCCAGATGGTGTGCATCCCAGTTGCATTCCCTAACACATTGAGAGAAACCCACCCCTTTCCTATTTGCTCTGTGTAAAGTTTCCTGAAAGCTTTTCTTCCAACGACCAGCTCCTCCGTCCTCGATATACCTGAGCGCCACAGCAGCATCCATTTCAATCACGAAATCGGAGAAGCCTTCGGAAATCGCTAGATCAATTGCATACATGGCAGCGGTGAGCTCGGCTTCTAAAGGAGAAGAAACCGCAAGAGGAAACGAAGAGGCAAAGACTAAGATTCCTTCAGAATTTCTCATAATCGCACCACCTGAGGCAGCCCCTGGTAAGAAGCTAGCATCAGTATTAAGTTTGAAATTCCTTTTAGGTCTCTTCCATTTTACTGCCTTGAAGAAAAACCCTTTAAGCTTGAAATTAACAGGAATCAACTTCTCTTCAAACAGGAGATTTCCAATAGATCGAATTTTCAATTTAGGGAAGCTGATAACCCAGGTCTGAGTGTAATGTTTGATTTGTGAAATAATAGAATCAGAACTTGGGCTCTTGCTCTCCAAACCCCAGACAATACTGGAATAAATTTTCCATAAGTGCCAACAAATGATACCTGGTAGATTGTGTATAAAAATATCTATCAGTTTGGTACTCCCAGCTTTGAACCACCAAGCCATAAAAATGTTTTTAATATTGCTATCCTGACTGGGAATAGGGATGCCAAAAATACTCATGAAATAGTACCAAACTGGTAGGGCCACCTTACACCCATAAAAAAGATGATCAACAAAATCTTCACTTTGCATGCACATTGGGCAGATTGAGGGGTTAGTTGTGACATGAAACCTCTGTAAATTGTCTGTCACAGGTAAAATTTTCTTCAGTATTTTCCATTGGAGAAGTTTAATTTTCAGGGGCTGTCTAGCATGCCAGGCATGCTGAAAAGAAAATGTGGATGCCTGTGCTGACCTCACCATATTGAAGGCTGATTTGAAAGTAAATTCTCCATCCTCATTCAACCAATTTATACTGCTATCAGCATTAACTTCACAAAGATTATTAGCTGTATCACTTATTGCACAAATTCTTCTCCAAACTGGAGAATCACTGATCTTGGGAACCAGATTGGGACCTCTAGGGTATCTTGCTTTAAGAAACTCCACCCATAATGAATTACTTGTTCTCCATTTCCACCAAAGTTTAATTGAGAAAGCCTTTTCCAAATCAGCTAGAGATCTAAGTCCTAGACCTCCTTCATCAGTAGGAAGACACAAATCTGACCATTTTATCCAATGATGCTTGTTTTTATTATTAGAAGAACCCCAGAAAAAACTTGCCATCTTTTTTTCTAAAGTACTAACGACTTTTTTGGGCAGGTTGTCAGCAGCTAGGATATGTAATGGAATGGCATTTAAGACATGCTTAATTAAGATAAGTCTCCCTCCTTGAGACAAATTTTTCTGTTTCCAAGGGGATAACTTTTTCTCAAACTGGCTGATGAGATTGACACAGTAGGAGAATCTGTTAATCCCCTTGTGAAGGTTAACACCCAAATATTTAATAGGCAAGTGAGCAAGCTGCATGCCTAGAATCTTCTGAATATTTTTAATTCTGGCCCTTGCAAATTTCCCACAGACAAAAGAGCTTTTTTCTAAATTTACAGACTGGCCCGAAGCAGCCTGATAAGAATTAAGGAATTTCTTGAAATTAAGCAAAGATCTAGAATCGCCATTTAGGAAAATAAGCAGGTCATCAGCAAAGCCCAAGTGAGACACTGGGTAGCCCACCTTACCCATCCAATAAGGCTTGATAAAACCTTGATCAATATTCCATTTGAGACCCCTAGAAAAAGCCTCAGAGGCAATGATAAACAGGAAAGGAGACAATGGGTCCCCTTGCTTGACTCCTCTCTTAGGTTGAAAAAAACCTTGTGGCACACCATTAACCAGAATCGAAAGATGAGTAGATTTAAGATTATTGATGATCAAGTTAATAAGATTGATAGAAAAACCAAAACTGGATAGGATTTGAGAAAGAAAGTCCCAGGAGAGCCTATCAAAAGCTTTAGCCATATCAAGCTTAACCATTACATTAGAGCCCCTTATCTTCTTGTCAATAGAGTGTATCATTTCTTGAGCAATAAGAACTTGTTCATTAATATCTCTATGTTGCATGAACCCAACCTGCTCAATGGATATAATCTTAGGCAAAATTTTACTTAGCCGAGAAGCCAGGACTTTAGTGCACACCTTACTCACAAAGTTGAATAGACAGATAGGCCTAAAATGTGCAAAGGTATTAGGATTGTCAGTTTTAGGGATCAAAACAACCCAGCTACTAGACATTCCTTTAGGAATTGAGACCCCCATGAAAAACTCCTGCACAGCTCTAACAACGTCAATCCCCACAATATCCCAGCACTTTTTGAAGAATTTTCCATTGAATCCATCTGGGCCAGGTGCACCATTCTGATTTAAGCCCCAAAGGGCAGATTTAACTTCATCATCAGTAGGTAGTTGCATGAGCATATTATTATCCTCTGCAGTAACTAAAACAGGAATGTGTTGTAGTAAATTGTTGTCCTCCACCTGGTTGTCCACAGAGTAAAGATTGGAGAAAAAAGAAACTGCAGCATTCCCCATCTCAGGTAGAGAGGTAACCACCTGCCCTTGCTCATTAAGAATGGAAGAAATGTTTTGTTTTCTGTTTCTAACTTTCACAAAGGAGTGGTAGAATTTAGAATTAGCATCTCCTTCTTTAAGCCAATGGATGTGAGCCTTTTGCTTCCAAAATTTTCTCTCCAACTTGTATTTACTTAAAAGAAGACCTCTCATATGTGACCAATGTTCTCTATTTTGCTCAGATGGATCATCATCAAATTTTTGTTCAGCCTGTTGCACTAATGATTCACAGAACTTGATTTCATCAAAAATATTGCCAAACACCTCTTTGTTCCAACTTTTAATATCATGTTTAAGACATTTAAGCTTATAGACCAAGCCTCTCATCCCCCCAAAAGTAGAACTAGAATGCCAGCTTTTTTTAACCACATCTAGAAAGCCAGAGTGAGAAAACCACATGTTTTGGAATTTAAAAGATTTAGGTCCATCAGGGGAAAAGGTTTCGCACCTGAGCAGAATAGGAGAGTGATCAGATGGAGTTTTCTCTAGGACAGAAATCTGAGTTTTACCATACGAATCCAGGAATTTATTATTCAGGAGACACCTATCCAAGCGTCTAAGAACTCGACCATTAGATCTCTTTCCAGACCAAGTGAATTTAGGACCCTCATAAGGCAAATCAACTAAATCACACGCCCCAATGCAATCAGAAAACTCCAATATACTAGTCAAATCAGGGATAGAATTACCTTTATGTTCATTGTGACTGGCTATAGCATTAAAGTCACCACCAAGAACCCAAGGTTCTGACATAGATTGAGAAATAGATAGCATATCCTTCCAAAGAGCCCTTCTAATAATATGAGAGTGGCCCCCATAAACTGCAGTAACCCATCCAGCAAAATTACCACATTTGATCTTCATATGAGTATACTGTGGATGCCAAGTCAACTCAGATATAGTAACATCAATTGGATTCCAAAAAATCCAAATTTTATTAGTATTAGAAACTGCAACCTTCTGAAAACCCAGGTCAAATTTAACCTGTTCTGCTTTTGAAATGTTAATAATAGGTTCCATAATGAAGAGAATATTGAGCTTCCATTTAGTTACAAGGGAAAAAAGTCTGGTAGAAGCTGAGGCCAGACCCCTTGCATTCCAGAAAAGAACATTCATTTAGAAAGATTTGGGTTAACTTGAAACCCAGAACCTACAGGTTCTGTTAACCCTCTCTTCCTGGATGCATTCCTGGTTATTCTGGCAGGTATATCTACTTCCTCTTTCTTCTTATTTTTCCTGTAGTTAACTGTGGTAAATCCTTCAGTAACATCCAAATTGATATCCTGTGTATTTGTCACCAAATTTGCAGACTCAGGATCCTGCATATGCTGACCTCCACCATTGCCAGGTTGTAGGGAATCCCTCTCTGATTGCTTGTCAGGATCCTGTCCATATTGGTCAAGCTCTATAGAAGCATTCTGAGATTGCATAACAGGTTCTGCCACAACCTCTTTTTCCTCCAGCATCTTTTTCATGGTTTCAACCTTTGAGCTGATATCTGACCAAATTTCCCTCCAACCATCTAGGGGCATTCTATATTTAGAACTCTCACCATCAAAATCATATTGTTTAGAAGAAAGCACAGGATCAAAATCAAACTGCTCAAGAAGAGGCTTGATACCCAAATCATCCTTGATTAAATGTACTTTGCCTCTTGATATTCCTGGGACATCTGTTTGAAGTAAGAGCTGCAGTTCATGCTTCCAATGATTGGAGTCTTGAAAAGCAGGGTGCTCAGCCAAACCTGAAGGATCCTCCATTATTATTTCCTCAATAATAGCATCATTCACCTTTGCATTAGATGTAGAAGGCTGATCTATATTAATTTCTGTATGCATAGGCTCTTTCCCTTTTCCTTGGTCTGTAATAACAGGCTCTTTAGCAACTGGAATACTGGCGGAATTATGCTTAGTAACCCATAGCTCCTTAGGTAAAGAGATAGCCTTAGAAGTAGTACAATTGGTCATAGAAGCAGGGGGGTTGGGCTTAATAACAGGTGGATTGAATTTTGGGCAAACCTTATCAGTGTGCCCCAAATGAAGGCAGAGAGAACAGTAGGAAGGTCGGTTCTCATAAATCACATCCTGGGCAAAACCTTGCTCACCGCAATTGATCCATATTTTGTGTGGCATTTCCTTGGTGAGGTCAATTTCCACACAAATACGGGCAACATACGGCCTAGCCAAAGTGGCTGTGGCTGAGTCAATTTTAATAGGCCTGCCAAGAAGGGCTGCAATGTCAAAAAGCGCTCTTTTGTCATGTAGATGAATAGGTAATCCTTCAAATGCAACCCAAACCGGAACAATGGGAGATTCCACATTAGGACGGAAATTAGGAGACCACTTAGAGACACGCATAGCTTTTCCAAGAATAGTCCAATTCTGGCGTTTCCAACAACGAAGATATTCTTCATCTTTCTCAAAACGAATCAGCACATGTTTGCGATCAATGACTCCCAAATGAAAAAATCCGTTGAAACCAATTTTTTCAAAGGCTTTACGAATAATATCCAAACTAGGACGTCCATGAAAAAAGTAACCCACTAGCGAATGAACGTGTCGCTTTGCTAAAATCTGGACATCAGATTCAGGAAAGGTAACGGTAGGTAAACCTTTGAAACGAGAGGGAGTTTTGATCGATAATGATCCTGAAGAGCTGCTGGTAACAACATCCGCGAAAGATTTACCACTCCAAACGTTGGCCGGAGGAATAGAAGGAGGCGGCGGCTGAGCCGCCGTTAAGGCAGTAGGGTTCGAACTCATTCTCCACTCGATCAAACAATAATATTATGTCAGATTTGTATTAGTTAATTTTTACTATTATACTAATTCTTTTTTTAATCATTCATGTTATTAAATAAGATGTTTTCATACAACGCTAAGATGAATTGTGAATTAATACAATTAAAACCTTACCCACTGGACCCCCCCATCGTGTCTTGACGATCTCTTCGCATATGTGGCCCTATTATGGCCGGTTTGGTGGCATTTTCCACATCTAACCGTTCCTCGGGGACCTTCATCCATCTCACTCTTAATACGTGTGGACTTAGGCCTTCCCTTAGCCCGAAGAATGGATGGATCGTGCACGATTTCAGGTCCATTGTAAGTAGGCCAATAATCACGATCAGGAATGGGTTTAAAGACTCTATGATATGTGGCGGCGTATTGGTCAGATGAGAAAAACTTATCCACATATGGAGCATAAGACAAGCTACGTTGTCTGCACACGGCTAACACATGGGAGCATGGAATCTTATATATTTCCATCTTTTTACAAGTGCAAGTTTTCCGTTGCAGATGGACATTTTGTTTTCTCCCACCCTTCCCCACCGTTCGGCCACCACAACCGGTTTCCACTTGAAATATCCTCGGCCACCCAAAAAACTCTTTGAAACTGCATATAACCTGTGGGAGTATTAGGGGGTGGGTACCACTGCACAATAGTTCCAGGATTTGAATGTTGGAGGCTTGGAGCGCTGTCATGAAACAGGGCAATTCAGAATATGACTTCTCCCAACTTCCAAATATTTCTGCTATGGCCTTTTGCTTCCCCATCCATGTTCTCCGGTATGATACCGTATACCCATACTTTTCCTTCAGCATCTCAATGATAGTATGCACTTTAAGGGAAGGTTCAGTGCGAACAATGTCAATCACATCTTTAGAGATGAAATCTGAAGTCAAAGCCACGTGATCGGTAGTGTCGGTGTTGCCAACACATGTAGCAGAATGAGGTCCAGGATAACGCACAATTGTGAAGGTGTCAAGATTGCTTTTGTTCTTTGTGGCGCGTATTCTCCAGGGGCAATTACATTCTTTCTTCCTTTTGCATTGTGCCACCCATTTGTGTTTATCTGACTCTATCACCCGATAAAATTGGTTCCGTTTGATAGAATACAAGCTCACCATATTGATGACTTGTTCTTTGTTGTCAAACTGTTGATCGACCTCAAACTCACCTTCGGGGGTAAACCTTTTCTCACCTGATCCACTCATCCACGCATCAGTAAAGCCTTCAGGGAGATCATACATTCTAGTAAAGTGGCTAGACGGGGCAGTTTCCGTGACCGTATCACCATCATCTTCATCAGATTCTGTCATGTCATCACCATTGATGTTGTCGTCAGCATCATCATCACTTCCCTGCCCATCCACAAATGATGCACCGTTGTGCAAATACCTACCATCTTCCTGTATAACCATGTCCAATACAGGAGCATTTGAGGAGTTCACTGCATTCACACTTGCATTGACATCATGCCTAAACGTCACATATGAATTCCTCAATGTATATCTCCAGCGTGGACATGTCCTCCATCTGAACTATGCCCCACATATTAGTTATAGCTAGCTCATCAATGAGGGGCATAAGCATGTATTTTCCCCCGTTCATGGGAAATTTCATTTTCAAACGCAAAGAAAGGCTATGATGAATCATTGTGGCTGCATGTATTTTTTGAAGGATCTTAAGCATGCAAGCGCCACGAGAAACCATGACAAAGCTGGTTCTACCACCTTCATGGCATATTTGTCCAGCATCCTCATAATAGTTCCCTCCCCAATGACACACGATTGGGAAGCTTGAAAAATCCATATTCTAATAACAATTCATTGTCCAACTTTCATGAGTAGGCATCAATATACAAAATTTATACACATTCAAATTTTCAATAGAAAAAACTACCAAAATTCTAATATATCCAAAAGTCAAAATTCACAAACAATTCACATTTCAATATGAAACTACCCAAATTTGATATCTACATTCAAGTCTACATTTCAATGCCCAAATTTAGCTACATTCAAATCTACCCAAATGCCCAAATGTCAAAATACACATTAAAATTTACAATCAATTTAAAATCAAATTTCAACATTACATACGTATCCACATTTCACAACAACTGAATTCACAATCAATTCATAATCCAAATTTCGAAAATTTTAACATTCAAAACCCTAAGTTCAAAATGAGATGAAATGAATTTTTATTTACCTAGAAGAAAGAAGAAAGAGTGTTGAAGAGGATGGAGATGAAGGATTCTTGGGAAGATGGAGGAGACCTCGCCGGAGCTCGAGATTCGCCGGAGTATCTTCGCTGGTCGCTGCTGCTGGGGGGTTCGTCGCTCGCTGCTGCTGCTTTGAATTTGGGGAGGAAGTGTTCTGTCTTGCATAACCGACCCCGTTTTTACTTAAAGGAAAAGTCGCCCACCCGTTGGGCGACTTACCCTGACCATGGTTAACCCAGCAGTATATTGGTAATACTTTTAACCCAACCCTATTTTCGTAATTAATTAATTAATTAATTAACATTATTTCGAAAAAAACTCTCAGTTTGTAAAAGATGAATATTTGAATTATTTATATATATTTACTCATTATTTTGTTAACAAAATGTATTTTAAATATAATACTTTCACATTCAGTAAATAAGTGAGAAAATTTTAATAGATTAAGTGTTGGAAAAATGGTTTTACTTCAATATAATGATCATCTTTTAGCTAAAATAAATAGAAGATCCACAACTAAAGATTTGGAGACATTATTTCTACAGTGAGACATGTCTATACCGATTATAAGAGTTTGAAATACGTATTCACTAAAAAAGAATTGAATATGATGTAAAGGAGATGGATGTAGTTGATCAAGGACTATGATTTGATCATCGATTATCATCCGGGGAAGGTTAATGTGGTGGCTGACGCACTTAGCCGAAAGAGTACATCAGAGACGTTCGCGGGCAGGGCCCCAATAGCGAGATTCGAGATTATACATGTAACACCCCCAAATTTCCCACCCAAAAATACATTTGAATAATGATTTATTCAAAATAAATAATGATTTATTCGAAAACATGAGAGTCTTGCAGCGGAAAATTCAAAGGGAAACAGGGGCGTTACCGCCACACTCGGTTCTCACATAACCGAGTGCACAGGCTATCCACCACCAACAAATTAAATTTTCCCATATTTAACTGTTCAACTACAATTCTTTAAAATTAAGACTAAATTAAATTACTCAATCACTTTAGTCTATGTGTTCTAGCGGAAGCTCTCGAAATCAACTTCAACATGATCCTCAATTCCTGCACAAATTAAGTACAGAAAGAAAAACACAAAAAAACAAAAATTAGCTGGAAATGCTAAGTAAGGCCCACCCAACCCTGTAAAATAATCATGTTTGATACATATATATATCATTTTGTGAAAACATTTGGGAGGAAACCTTATAAAACACTTTATACAAACTTCTCATCACAAATCACATGTAAAATAATAATATTCCAAATATAGGTACTTATATTTAATCAAATCCAAAAGTATTACTTTTGAAATCCATAAATAATTTAATAACCTCAACCATCTCAAATTCAATCCAATCCAAAATAAAAATATAACACACTCAAATAATCCAATATAATATATTTCAATTCACCTCAATCAAGTCCAACCAAATAATCCAAATTACCTCAAAGCCTCAAAGCCAATTCACCTCAATACCAATGGAATCCAAGTCCAATTAAATCCAAACATAATCCAATCATTCAAACTCAATCAAATCCAATGGAAGCCGAACTCCTACCTTAAGTGTGCACACCCCTTAAAAGAGATTCCAAGCTCTCCGGGTAGTAAAAAGTCCGAGTAGTCGGGATTTTTCTACCGATTACTACAATTAAGCTGGGATGCTCCACTTTTGGGAGATCCCTGGTGAAATTAGACTTATAGCCATTACCACTCACCAAATCCACATTTCTCCGAGTACTCATAAATCATAACTCAATCTCAAAGTTCCAATATCATAACCTCAATTAAAATGGATATGAAATCCAAATTCTACCAAATTATTCATAATGAAATTATTAACTCCAACTCATCATACTCAAACATACCACAAATAGTCCAAAATATAGGATACTTCATAAATAGCTCAAATCTCAAATCTCAATCCAATAACTATTCATATGTAAATTCAAATGCTCAAAATATCACCCAATATAAAATACTCAAATCTCAAATATATATAATTCACAATCACAATTGATACGTAAAATATCATTAACTATCAAATACTCAAATGATCTCAAATAACTAGTCACAAATAAATATATACGGGAAAAGCATGAAATTTGGTTGACATAGTACTTACCTTGAATCGTGATAAATCCTAATTGAAGCTTTAATCTCGACCTTCTCCAATTTCACCTTCTAGAATATTAAAATTGTAGAATTAATAATTTACTCACAATATTGAGATTAATTAGCTCATCTTAGTTTGCTCACTTTTAATTACCTACGTATGCCAATTTGATCCATTTTATTAATTCCATCTATTTTTATTTTTGGCCAACCCAGAATGTTTAATTTCTCCTCCATTCCTTAAACAGTTTGGCCCATTTAATTTAATTTGAGTCCATATTAATAAAACTACAGCCCGTCAGAATTAATACGGAGTATATGAATTACGTACACACATGGCGGCAGAAGGTCATCTTCTCCATCAGCTTCTCTTTCTTTCCGGAGTCTACGCAGACCGGCCGTTGTAACCCAGCGAAACTTTCTCCGGCGGTGCTACAGTGGAACTTCCTCACGGCAGTGCTTCCACAGCGTTCAACCATTCTTTCTTCCTGCGTGAAAATCACTCCGGCCCACAGCGGGTTTCTTCTCCGTCGAGTCCTCCCATTTCCCCGACGTTCAGTGGCATTCAGAGGAAACTTCCCAGGCTCCATTACACCTTCGTTCCGCAGTTCCGTAGTCAGTCTGGCGGCGAGGTTAAGGCACTCCGGCGGGATCCTTTGTTTTCCGGCATCGTGTGACTCTTCTCCGGAGATTCTTGGTACCAGCTCTTCCGGAGGAGATTCCACTATTTTCACTCTCCTTCACTCGTGACTTAGATAGCAGGTTAGAGAGAAAAGTGCAGGTGTGTATGTGAAGTTGTTCTCTGGTTGTGGTTTCGCAGGGTAGAAATGGTAGTATATCTATACATATATAAATATGTATTTGTATATATACAAATACGCATGTCGTTGGCTTTTCTTTGGTGCAGAACAAGTACAAGTAGCTCATTTGCTTCATCATTTACCTATCTTTGGCCTCTTTCTCGTAAGTGATTTAGCATGTGCGATGGTTGGTTGTTCGTATGCATGAGACGTGTGACTATGTATAGTCTGCACTCTCCAAGTTCATTGTCTCACATACGTGCGGTCTATATTATTGTGTATCTAGCTAAAGATGGCAGACATGTCACATGTAGTACGTACCACATTTGTGTATTATTATTTTTATTATTACGGGTATATGCTACTCCAGTTTGTATTATTATTTTTATCATTCTAAGTGTATTTTCCTGAACATATTATTGACTGATTCAAATTGTTAAAATGTCACTTTTATTATTTATGTCATATTGGTTGTTACAAAAACCTCACTTTTGTCATTTAAGTCAAGGTCTTATCTGGTCAACATAATTATTGTAAAAATGTCACTTTTATTATTGAAACATTTTTATCTTATTAAAACTGTCACCGATGTTAAAATTTTATCTCTTTCACTTAATTATTAAAATGTGACTTTCGTAAAATTTTATCTGACTAATAAGTTTATTTATTTTATTTAAATTTTCGGGGTGTCACAATACATGCTCTACTTGATGAGATCAAGGGATGTAAGGACATTGATTATGAATGTCAGAAGATCCGTGAACGGATCCTTGCGAGGTCCGTTGAGAATTTCCGGGTACTAGAATATGGTCTCTTATTGTTTAGGGATCGTGAATGCATACGGAAGAATGAAGAATTCCAAAAAATCCATATTAGGGGAGGCTCATTATTCGGCCTATGTTATGCATCGGGGAGGTACTAAGATATACCGGGACTTGAAGGAAAGCTATTGGTAGTCGGGTATGAAAGGAGATATCGCAGAGTATGAGAGTCAATGACTTACTTGCAAGCAAGTTAAGGTGGAGCATCAGTACTCGACAGAACTTTTGCAGCCATTTACCATTCCAGATAAGTGGGAACATGGACTTTGTGGTGGGGCTGCTACGAACGGTTATCATATATTCACTCAAACAACAAAAATTCAGGCACTTTACTTTTATTCTCTATTTTATTTCTCAAAGTCGAACTTTATAGAACGACATTTCCCTGTGCAATCGACCCGATATTTTACAGAAAATTATTATTACATCGGCATTTGTATAATTGCAAGTTTAGCCCGATCAAGCGTCAACTGTCTTTTCATTTGGTCTTCTGAGTACGTGGACTATAGGGACCGGGCCCATATACTCTACCACTATTCATCAAATGGGGACTTCTACCTTTTAGAAGACATCCAAAAATGGATGGAGGGTTAGTCTGCTCTATCTAAAAAAGTGGCAACAATAATTAATAGAATCAAGCATCCCAATATTGAATGCATTGATGATTTATTAGCTGGCTTGGATAATAACTTTAATGATGCAGGTTTCATCAAAGTTACCAGGAAAAAGAAAAACAGTCGGCACAAATTAGCCCAATTTCACCAAGATTTACAAGGCTGCTACAAAGAAGCTCTCTCAAACTTTCTCCAACTGTTTATGATGAATGGTCTAATTTGGAATGTTTGTGGCCTTGTCTCTTCTTGTCCAAGGTTGTAGGAGCTCATTAAAAACAATGGAGAATTCATATTCTAGCAGTTATTGAACCTATTGTAGATGTTACTAAAATCTCTTACTTTTCTTTGGATCATGGTTTGGACAGAAATTTTTATTGCTCTAATAATAAAATCTGATTTCTCTTTCATTAGGTACATTCATATGAAGATTTTTCACTAGGGAAATTTTGTTACTAGTTTACCTCCATTTATGGTGCTCACACCTATACTAAAAGAAGGATGCTTTGATCTTTTCTACCTAGTTGGGTTGCTTCTCATTCAGACCCTTGAATGGTTGGTGGGGATTTTAATGCTATAGCCTATCATTGTGAGCATAATGGGATTTCTATTCCTAATGTGGCTCGCATAACTGATTTTAAGGACCATGTTGCTGACTGTAATTTGGTGGATCTACCATTTCAAGGCAGTTCTTTCACTTGGTCTGGAGTAAGGAAAATGGTAGAGTTTGGAGAAGGTTGGATAATTTTCTTTTTAACTCTATGTTTACTGATTATTATGATTCAATTCAAATTAATCATTTAAATAAAGCATGTTCAGATCACAATCATGTGCTTCTACACCGTAAAAGTTTGAAGGTGGAAGGACCTAAGGCCTTTAAATTTTCAGATGATGTGGATATCCAACCCTAATTTTCTTGAGGTTTTTAAGTCAGTTTGGGAATCCAATCAGGTGGGGTATGAAAGGTTTAGATAACAAATTGAAAGCCCTTAAGTGGGCTCCTAGACTGTGGAATTAAAATGTTTTTGGCAACATTTTTGAAGATGTTAAAAAACTTGAAGCAGAAGTGCTCCAGGCTGAGATGAATTTTGAAAATGATCCTACCATTGCTAACATAGAAGACTGGCCCTACAAGCAAGCTCTTCTATTATCTAAGCATAAGCAAGAAATAGCATTCTGCAAATAGAAGGCTCGCATCAAATGGTTGAAAGAAGGGGATTCTAATACCGACTTTTTCATTCGTTTGTTAATATTAGAAGGAGAATGCAAAGTATCACTACCATTAAAGATTTTGGAGGCCACTCTTGTTCTGATCCTGCTTCCATTGAGAAAGCTATTGAAGATTATTTCACGAATATTTTCTCAAATGAACATGTTAGTGATGTTGAAGAACTCTTGCAATTTATACCAGAGTTAGTGGATGATACATAAAATCATATGCTTATATGCAATTTTGAAGAACATCTTTAGAGGATGTCAAGAAGGTTGTTAGGGATTTGAATAAAAATGGGCCTGATGGATTCAATGGTGCGTTCTTTATATCTTGTTGGGATATTGTGGGGGTGATGTTGTAATATCAATTTTTGGGATATCAATTTTCCACTTGTGTTCTGCAGATGATATTCTCATCTTTTTTAATAGTGATGCTAGATCTCTTTTGAATTTTAAAAGGTTCCTTGGTCTTTATCAAAGGGCTTCGGGACAAGAATTAACTTTAACAAAAGTAAATTTGTTTTTGCAAGAACTTCCCTTAGTCGCATCGGAAGAATGGAAATTGTTAGAACATTATTTATTGTGTTCAAATTAATTGTAATTATCTTTGATTAATTAATCTTAATATTAGCAGGCTTTTAGTTTAGAGAGAAACATGCTTTTTAGCTGATAAGCCCATTCGCCCCACCTGTTCCTAATTGTAATAATAGGATGCTCGACCCTCCCCTTATAAATACAAGGAATGTGTTATCAATGATTTAATAAAAAATTTGGTGCAACAACAACTTCGGCTAGAGCTTGCTGGTAACTCTTAAGAACCATCCTCTGTAATACCCTTGTGAAGATGTCAAAAACATTGAACATGCCTAAGACTCTACACAATTAATTCTGCACTTACCATTCTCGTAGAGCACCTCTATAATTCTCTCTCAACAGTTCATCCGTGTATAATGCGTTATTGCTATATCATTGTGAATATACGATATTGATTGTTGATGAATTATTCTTTTTATACTCAATTTCTCCATATTATTGCATATTAGTTAATCAACTATTGATATGGGATTCTCCAACAATTGGTATCAGAGCCTCGGCGTAATTCTGTCCGTTCGAATCTAGGATTTTTTCTCGAATTAATTTCATCAAAATAACAAGTTTTGGTTGAATTAGTTTTAGAATTGTTCTTGGAAAGTTACTATTTTAGGATGGCTACTGCTGAAAAAAGAGAAAAAGATCCCAGAAGAAACCCTACGCTATTCGAGTTACTAGATTTGCACTACCGAAATCTATATTTCGGTTGCCGGAAATCATACAGATCGCTAACCCGAGATCTCAGGTTCTTCAGCACTCGAGATCTAATCTTCTAAGCAGACCCAAATTCTCAACAGATCTCTCGAGATTTGGATTTTGAAGCAGGACCCGAGATCAATATTTCACACCACCGGGATCCAGAGTTTGAAGGAAGACCTGAGTTTCCTGATCTCGAAGAACCATCCAACTTCTACGAAATCAGGCCAAGAATTCTTTCCTGGCGAGATCACTCTTCAGTTGACTCGAGATCCTTAATTCGAAATCAGCACCCGTGTTGGTCCCGTTGAAGTAGGGAACAGTCTAGAGGGGGGGTGAATAGACTGTTCAGATTTTTCAAACTTTTCTTTAAGTCAAAACTGACTTATCAGAGAAGGCCTGAATCTGGTGACAAAGAAGGTCGAATTCTGGTGGCAAAACTGGACCTGGCAGTGGATAAGAGTTCTGTCTGGGTAGCCTCAGGAAACACTAAGGCAACTGCCTTTCTGTTAACTCTTAGAGCAAGATCTGCTGAACACAGATTCCAAGTTCTTCAGAGTTTCATAGTTAAAAACCTAAGAGCAGAAATTAAATGCGTAAAGTAAATGACACTGGGGTTTTTATAGTGGTTCAAGGAACAACGTGTTCCTCTAGTCCGCTGTTCCACTAAGCTTGTAAGTCAACAATTACAACGCCTTAGTCCCTAGAACTTAAGAAGCACTCCACGTCTTCCTCAAGTCTAGTTGTCACCCGGGATGCTCTTCCTGACTTCCTGATGACTGGTCTCGTTTCACTGAGTCTCTTGAAGTATCCCCACTTCACTACCCCAGTTAGTTTGAGACGTCCCTTCTTTTTCAAGAAGTGTTTGATCAAAAATCAGTTTTCTCCAACGTTGCTTCATCACAAAAGATGTGTAGTTGAGGTTCTAGAAGTGTTGAAGAACTGGAGGAACTTTGCTCTTTGTTGGAAGAAATGATAAGAGGATGATATCTTTCCAACGTAGGCTTTTCTTGTTGAAGAAGATGAAGTTGAGATCTTAAGAAAGCTTGTAGTTTGAATGTTGTGATAAGAGCAAAGGTTATCATGTAGTTCTTCGAAGTGTATCTTATATACTCGGAGCAGTCTTCCCGTTGGAGTGTAGAAGACAGCTTCATTTAATGCTTGTACTGTTGATTTGACCGGTTGGTCCTTCAACTTGCTATTTTGGGGGAGAATGGATATCCGCAGGGTCAATCATTAGCTTTAAATATCTCAATGTACGAACATCATTAATTGAGCATTTAATGCGTGAACAGTACCATGTTCCGTTGAGTGACTCCTAGCCGTTATGGTATTTCCCGTTAGTTTCACGGCCGGTGGAAGTACCTTCGAATTCTTCTAAGTAGCAGCAAGTCTGATGAGGTTATCTTATAGCACTCTGATGACTAGTCCTGATGGCAGCTCTGGTGTTAGACTCTGGTGCTTCTCTGAGGAACAGCTCTGGCAGCAGCTCTGATCAGAAAGACCAAAAGGGTCTCTGGCCAGTCGACTATGCTAATACTTACAAAGAAAAATTCTAATACAAGATTTCTAAAGGGGTACTCCAATATTCTAATTGACCTAGCATCATCAAAATCTAAATACATTTATTCCTTACAATTTCCCCCTTTTTGATGATGCCAAAACCCTTAAACTATTTCCAGAGAAGTGCCTTTCACCATAAAAGAAATTAAGTTTAAAAACTTTCATTATAAATCTTGGTGGGCAACTTGGCATAGGAAAATAGTAAGAGTAAGATATAATCAAAATAGCACACAGTAAATAAAGTATCAGAGCCAGAAATGAAACACAGACATACAAAACAATGAAGAACAGAGAATTTGAGTATGCCATGCAAAATAGAGGCAGAGAAGTTATCTTATATATCAGAGTTCATAAGAGTACAAGAGATAGAAGAATTAAACATCTTCCTCTTCTACCTGTCTTCTAGCTTCATCAGCTTTCCTGAGTTCAGCATTGACTCGATCTCTGATGGTGGCAAGGTTCCTCGGGTTCTGGTATTCTGACCAGTGAGGTTCAAGCTTGCAGTCCAGATAATTCCTTACTGCTTCTGATATGTTCTTTCCCGGAATCACTCTCATGCGCCACCAAGCTTCTGCTTCTTTGACAGATCCTCCGTGGTTTATCTGAACTAGTCCATCATTGTCCATGAAAAGATTCTCTTGCTGTAGGGGAGTCATCAGTTTCTTCATTTGTTCAAACTGAGCTCTGTTAGGTCTTGACATCCCACTCTTCATCCAACTAGTGAAGGAGAAGTTGGAAGATTTCTTCTTTGACTTTCTAGATGGTTGAGGAGGAGGTCCGTGGACTCCAGCAGCAAACCTTTTCTGTTTGACCTGTTCAAAATACATTGCTGGGTCAACAGAAACAGAGGTTGGCTTTCTGGGTGTCAAAGCTCTGAAACTAGGACCTTCTGCTTCTCTGGTCTCTTCCCCCTTTTTGGCATCAACAAGATCACCAAGAAGAAGCTCTATTTTGGAGAACTCTGATGCTAGAGTATCTCTGATTTCCTCAAGAGATTTAGGAAGAGTTTGAGTAACAGAGGCCAGTCCTTCTATCAGACCTTGTTGCTTCTCAACGGCTGTTTGAATGTCTTTAGTGCTTGCTTCCAAGAGTATCAACTTCTGATACCTTTCCTTATCATTCTTTAGCACAGGCAAGGCCTGTTCTTTGTGAGTCTTGCAGAGTTCCTCAATGTCCATGAGTTGCTCTTGAGATCTGTCATGGGACCATTGTAGGTTGTCAACTGCCTCAGATATCTCCTTAATGGCCTTGTCTTGAGCAGAGAGGGCCTGGGTGTGGAAGTAGAGGACAGAGTTGATACCATCCACTTCTTTGGAGAGGCCATCCACTTTGGATGTGGAGGTTTTCATGAATGAAGTCAAGGATTCGACTAGAGTTGCAACACTTGAAGATAGCTTTTGTATTCCAGATTCAAGGTTGGTGTTGACATGTGTCAGATGCTCATCATTTTTTAGATTGGCCAATAGGAGTTTCTCCATGCCATCTATCACCTGGTCACCGAAGATTTCTGCTTCTTCAACAAATCTGTTGAAAGGAATCTGATGTTCTTCATTATCAAATCCTGGCATCTCAAGACCTTTACCTTTAGGCATCAGAGGATTTCTGCCAGTAGGTTGTTGTGGTGAAGGAGTTTTCTGGGAGGGCTTCTCTGTAGGAATCTTCTGGCGTTTTGAGGTGAGATCTCCAGCAAGAGATGATGTGAGGAATCCATCATTTTCACTGTCTGATGAAAGAATATGGACAGGAGGCTGTCTCTTGGGTTTGGAAGCCTTAGAATGATGAGAGGAATGTTGTGGAGTAGCAGTTCTAGAAGGTGGCTTCTGGTGAGAGGTTGAGACAGACTTCGGTTTCTAATGGGGAGAACTCTGGTGAGTAGGGGAGTTCTGTGGTGGAGGTGAAGGAGGAGGTGAGGGTGAGCGGTTTCTTGTAGAGAGTTGCTGCTTGCAGGGTGAGGAAGGCATAGACTTATTTGAGGGGGTTTTCTCAGGTGTTGGGGCTTTCTTTGGGGAGGGGGTTTTCTGATGTGAAGGGGTTGAAGTATTTTGTTTGTGGGGGGATTGAAGAGGTGTGGAATAAGGTGTGTTAACTTTTGGAGAGGGTGCATTGTGTACAGATGGTGATTTAGGAGGGGAGAGAGGGAGTTCTGTAGGAATAAGAGCAGAGGGGGAGTTAGGTATTACCTCCAGAATAGTTTCTTCGAACAGAGATGCTGATGTGTGTTTTCTCGCACTTAAAATAGATCGTAATATAGTGGTGTAAGTACGAGTATCGTCTCCACAGCGACGGACAAAAGGGAATCAAGAATTAATTAAATTCAGCGATTAAAAGAAATAAATAAAATAAATGCGTCGTGCGAGATATGATTGGTATGAAAAATTAAAATGCAACTAAATGATTAAAATAAATGGGTTCTCTCTAATTAATGACGAAGGGAACATGGATTGATTCCGGGGTAACCAGATTTCTGGCAGATCAGGCCTAATCACATGAAATTAATTCAATTGAGCCTGGCTAATCATTACTAAGTTCTTACCGCTCTCGCGGCGTAGAGTACAATAATTTAGGGGACCAGGCTGATCTCTCATGCGACATGATCCTAAATTATTGCCAAGACGAGCGAGCTTACGGCCCCTTAATCGCTACTAATCTCTTAGCGAACGATTAAGTGTGTGTGAATGTGTCCTAGAACAAATTAGATCTCTCTTAAATTATTCTACATGCAATTGTAATTCTAGTCGCGATTCTAGGTTACAAAAGATATCAATTAAATTATTCAAACACAAATTAAACGGCATTCATGCAATTAAACCGAAAAGAATCTAGCCATACATCATGATTAACCCCTTCATCAATCCCTAATTAAAACTACTCACAATTCATAATTGAAGAATCAATAATATTGGGAAGAATAGAATTAATTGTCATTAATTAAAAAGGTGGAACTTACAAAGAATACCAAAAGATTGATGAACAAGGCTGAAAAGCCCTCTAAAATTCGTGTTAGGCACTCTCTCTAAGCTCCCCCTTGAAAACGGGGGTTTACAGGCTGTTTAAATAGAAAAATCGGGTGAAATTTGAGCGAAATTAGGATTCCGAGGGCAACGCACGGGGCCAACGCACGGCGTGCGTCCCCCAGTGCGTCCGGAGCAATGAAACGCGAAATTTGGCAACGCACGGCGTGCGTCCCCCCACGCACGGCCGTGCGTTGCTGGCAGTAGGTTCTTTGCTTTCTCGCCTCAGACGCACGATCGTGCGTTCCCCTACGCACGGCGTGCGTCAAACTTCCGAATTTGACAAAACTTCCTTCATAAAAGTTGTAGATAATAAAGTCCTCTATCCACCCCAACTTGCCGAATGTGATTTTGATCATCCAATCAACAGATATGATCAAAACGGTGGAAGGTGTCTTTCTGAAATCGCAGCATAGATCATCTGACTTCATCGTCTGTTTTCACCTTCTTCCTCTCAGTTTCTCGCAAAGGTGTCTTCATATCATTTGTAGCCCTTGAAGTTAGCTTTCATATGGAACTTGAATCTTGTACATTGGATGTTTCTACAAAGAGATAGGCTTGAACGATTGACAGAAGGTCATCCTGATCGTCGTTTCAAGCTTCATTCATCTTCTTTTGACCCCGTAGCCAATCCTAGAGCTCTTTTTCCTTCAAATCTTCATCGTGAATCTTACGGTGACCTCCAAAGCTATCAAATCATTCTCAAATGCTTCTCAAATCATCCCGATTGTTCCTCAAGTGCCGGTACCCGGGCTCAAATTCACTCATTTTGACTACAAACAACACAAAACTTGAACCAACGCCCGGTAAACATAACTTGAGCTAAAATTGAGACTTGCAACACCTTAAAGCTGGGAAAACCATCAAAATCCAATCCCAACACACATCAAATGCGTGTTGGAAAATTTCAGTTTGGTCTTCGGTTTTCGGTTCAAAATGCCAACCCTAATTCTTAGGGTATGTAAGTATCACATACTAGTTTCGGGTTAAAAAATGCACAAATGTTGGTAACAAAAAAGCATTAACTTCCATTGTCCCGTTTTATGTGTCTTCAGCGTGCAATGAAGCAAGAGTCAAGATGTTTTAGATTCAATTTTGTACTATTTAATAAAAGAGACTTGCACAATAAGAACGCTATCGAAGTTCAACAAAACAACCAGTGTCATGATAATTTAACTAGATAATGATATTAGAGAAAATAAGGTAAGAACGAAATGAAGTTTTACCAATGAGTAACTAAGACAGGTAAATTGGGACAGAGTATTTGGCAAATTTAGTAAACTTGCCTACAATGGGGATACATGGTTAGTTTCATTGAGAAAAAGACAGCCAAACACGTAATTGAAGAACTCATGTCCTTTCACAGGTTCTCCTCCATTAATCACAGCTTCTGTGTCATACTTGCAAGCTCTGGCACAGTCAGGACAGTAGGTAACCTGGAAACAAGCATATACATCACATTCTATCAATGTTCTCAAGAAACAATTTTTACCAAAAAATCAATAATATACTCCACTGAAATGATTTACAATTTTGGGATACATTTCCCAAACGGCATTAATTTATAGACAAAAGATGGTTTTTTTTTCAAATTACTAAGCCTTAGAAGCATGATAGAAAACATATGATAAGAGGTTTCGGACCTCGAGTAGTTTAGGCAGAAAATCGCAACTAAGCATCACATCAACACCATACATTGCCCGAGATCTGGGATGATGCATCTCTGGATGCACTGATGCAGCAGATTCAAACACTGATCTAATCATACTCCTAACTCTCATATGGATATCATTCCATTTTACTGCATATAGGTGTGGGTAAAATGGGGTCATGACAAAATACAAAATCCAGACGATAGCATAATACGAGGTTTTGAGACAATCAAATTTGTGTAGGAGGGTAGTAAGAACTCAGCACCTTTATGCTCTAGTTCAAACTCATTCACAAAATCTGGGGTGTTCAAGTGGTCTAATCTTCCTCGGTAATTCTGAAGATGAGGCGGAGAATATAATGTTAAAACTATTCTTTAAATAGATAAATAATATAATGTTGGATATCTAAAATGGATTTGATGTCGACCAAACGTGACATGGGCTGGGTCTATAAAAGGAGCTGAGATTTGCATTTCCCTTCCCTAGTATTTCGTTCCATTGCTATGTGTTTGGAGGAAACAAATAAATTTGTTTTTTTTTTCAATAACTGGATATGAAAAAAGTGGAGGATGAAGATATCAGTGAGTGACGATGGGAAATCAAAACTTAGTTCAAGTATTACTACTTGAAATTTAGATCAAGTTGTATACTTACTTTTATTAACAATTAAATAACTAATCTTGATTTACTGAACAAACAATGAAAAAATTGCACTTCCATTAGGAAATTTCAATCAAGGATGTAGATTACTACTTACCATTACAGTAAAATGAGTTTCATATTCATCCAAGCTGTGCTTGTCCAAAGAGTAAGTATTGTTTGCTAACCTAACCTGAAAAGAAAATAGAAACTACTCAACCAAAATGCGAGAAAGGAAAATTACGTTGCAATGTAGGAATACATAGGACTTTACATACCCAGAATACATCAGTCAGAAATATCTCCAATGGGTTTATACTGCGAACCAAGATGATGTAACGAAGATCAAACTTCCTCCCCTTGAACAGAGCAGGGTGCTCAATATACTTCTGGCATACTTTTGGCCCAGTCTCCATGAGACGGATAATAGCAGACAAATTGCCAGTTATGGTTGTATCAATAGTTCTTGCCATGTTCCACGGCTTCAAGATCCATAGATTATCTAGGCCATTCCTCTCCCGTACATAATAATCACCAATCATTTGAGTGAGTTGTGTTTCAAGGTTATATGTGGGCTGAAGCCATTCAGGCGAACCATGAGCCTGATGGAAAAGATAATGATACTTAGCAAATTACACAGGGTTAATAAAAGACAAATCAATGATGAGATATTTATCTATTGTATGTTGGGAAGACATAGAAAGGAGGGAATTAGGACATAAATGTAGAATTTCTCTGTTTTGGTTAGTAGAGAAATATTATGCACCATATTTGAATACTCCCCCTAAAAGTAAATACACCTAAGAACTGGGTGAATTTAATGTCCTAAAAACTATGTGCATTTAAAAATTATGTGGAATAAAATCAAGCAAGCTGGAAAATTTTGAGTCAAGTAGTAAGTTGTGACTGCAACAAGAAGGCTTGGTAGATAAGGAGACTCAAGGGGTGTTTGGAAATGATTCTGCTTCTGCTTCTTTTTTAAGGGTCTGTTTGCAACAACTTCTGCTTTTAAAAAAGTGCTTTTTTTAATGAAATGGGGAGAAGTGATTAAATAAAAGTTGATAGTGTTTGAGAAAAAAGTGATTTTGAAAAGTAAAAGTGGGTAGTGTTTGGTAAAATAAGTGCTTTTTGTGTCATAGAAAAAGTAAAAGCACTTTTGACGCGGAAGCCGAGAAAAATAAAAGTTGTAGTGTTTGGGAAAATAAGTGCTTTTTTAAAGCCAAAAGCTGAGAAGTGGCTTTTTAAAAGCAGTTGCAAACCAACCCTAAAGCGGAAGCAGAATCAAAATCAGTTTTCAGAAGCTGGTACCCCCCCAGCTTCTAAAAAACTGATTCTGGGAGTAAATTAGAGCACCAGAAGTGCTTCTGGAATTTCACCCAAACACTCCAGCTTCTGCTCCTTGAAGGAGCAGAATCAGTTTTGAGAATCAGATCCAAACACTCCCTCACATGCTCATATGGGTGAAGTGATCTACAAGGTTGTCTACAGTATTGCGTAGAGTTAATGGGCAAAATAGAAGACTGCAAAGTGTGCAGAAAAATGTGTTCGCAAAAAGTACAAACAAAACAAACAAGTGCATAGTTATTCTATAAAGGTTTGGCTAGTCCTAGTCCTCTACTCAAGGCACCTCTCTAAGGATTTCCAAATCCACTAATATGATCTCCTTAAATTCGAGAAGAGCATCACCTGAAGTTTAAGCAAACAAACATTTTTCAGTAAGTGTTGAGTTTTATAGGGGCTAACTCACAACTTCAATGGTTCAAATTTTAAAAGGGAATCCACCAAAACCTCAATTAGTCATTAACCTTATTATTTTATCAACCTCACCGGTAATTACTGATGTGTCTGTCATCACTTTTGAGGCTAAAATATGCTATTGGGTGTCCTTCCTGTTCCAAGACTGTCCCGAACCCGCTCCCAGAAGCATCACATTCAATAAGAAAGGGCTTAGTAAAATCAGGTAATTGGAGAACTGGGGCTGTGGATAGGCAATGCTTGAGATGATTAAAAGCCGATTCATCTTCGGAGTTCCAATGACAAAGTTCTTCAAGAGTTGAGTGAGAGGGGTTGTTATGGTGTCCTAGTTCTGGATGAACTTGCAATAGTATCACCCAAGTCTGAGAAAACCGCGTAGAGTATTTCTAGTTAGAATTTCTAGTATAAGCCAACCACGGACAGTCCTGACCTTGGTTTGATCAAGTTCAACACCACCATTATGGATAACCTGTCACTGGTAATCTACTTTTACTTCCTCAAAACTGCATTTGGAATGTTTCGAGAACAAACCATGGGCGCGTAAGAGTTCAAAGACCATAAACGTGGTGGACATGTTCTACCCAAGTCTTGTTATAGATGAGAATATCATCAAAAAAGACAAGCACAAATTTGCAAAGATATGGACGAAAAATATCATTCATCAAGCTTTGGAAGGTTGAATGTGCATTAGATAGACCAAAAGGCATTAACATAAATTCGAAGTGGCTGTGGTGTGTATAGAATGGTGTTTCAGGCATGTCCTCATGTGCCATGCGTATGTGGTGATAGTGTGATACCCGGAGTGAAGAAGCGGGCCCCATGCAGTTGATCCAGCAGCTCATCTATCACAGGAATGGGATATTTGTCTTTGATAGTTTGAGCATTGAGTTCACGGTAATCCACACAAAAGCACCATTTGTTATTGTGCTTTTTTACCAAAAGAACCGGAGAGGAGGAAGGGGACTGACTCTGTTGAATGATTACTTGTTCTAGCATGGTGGTACATTGCCGTTCGATTTCATCTTTCTGAAAGTAAGGATATCGCCCGCACTGCCGCAGGTTCAGCACCATAGATCAATGTAATACGGTGGTCGCATGATCTAGAAGGGGGAAGACCGATAGGCTCGTGGAAGACTGGAAGAGGTTGGTACAATGGCCCAAAAGTGCTTCCAGTATAGCACAATATGTGCCTGGTGATAAGGCCATGCTGGTCGGACCAGATTTGGGGTTTTGGCCAGGCCATTCAACGCGTTTGTTGGACCAGGAAAAGTTCACTGTGAGTTGGGCGAAGTCCCCTATAATAGATCCTAAACTGCGAAGCCATTCTACCGCTAAAATCATATCAAAGCCTGCCAAGGATAAGACGTAACAGTCAGCCCACAATCAGGACTCGTTCACCATTAGCCACGAGAGCAAATAAATGGGACGGTTGAAGTGAAGGAAACTCAAACTGCTTGACAACACGGTCATGAATAAAGTTATGGGTGTTGCCGGAGTCGACCAAGATCGTGATAGGTGCTCCATGAATAGTTGCTGCAATCTGCATGGTGGTTACGGACCCTGATCCAGTCATAGCATGCAATGACAAGGCCAGGTCATGTTCAGCTCTAGGGATAGTTACATCCTCCTCGTCATCCAATATCTCCAATGCAAAGAGTTGCTTGCAATGATGTCCACGAACATATTGTTCATCACAATGATAGCAAAGGCCTCTTGCTGCCTTGGCTCTAGAGATTCATCGACGCCAAGGAGGACCCTGTTGGGTGTGTGCAACAATCTGTCGCGATTCAGAAGTTATGGAACTGCCCTGAGGCACTATAGTACGTGGGTTCTGTCGTGGTTGGGGTCAGTGGGACACAATTAAAAGATGTGTCATAGGCTGTAGCTTCCGTTCAATTTGTTGAGCCAAACTCACTGCGACATCCAAGCTTCCAGGGGCTTGAAAGTCAAGTTCTAAACGGATGTCAATACAAAGTCCTGTCAATCTGCCATGAATGCGTTGACTTGAAATTGGCTTGGTAAGCCTTCAACATGTGCCAGTAGTCGTTGTGTTACGGACCTAGCCCATTCTAGGCCCATATCAGTGCCATAAGTCCAGGCGTAGAATTCACTCCTAAAAGACCAGCCGATTAGGAGGAGGGAACACTTTGCTTATAGGCCACCGGTCAAGCCCATACTTGACTGGTGTGAGATCATAACAATACCCCACGCTTCGAAGAGCTAACGTCCTCGTTGGTCACGGCTATGTTGGTACGGTTGGCACCCCCAGGGCCCAAGCCACCACTCCATAAGCCACCACTCCGAGTGTCGGGACCAGGAAGATGGGGATGGCTCTAATAACAATTGTTACGGACCTAGCCCATTCTAGGCTCATATCAGTGCCATAAGTCTAGGTGTAGAACTCACTCCTAAAAGACCAGCCGATTAAGAGGAGGGAACACCTTGCTTATAAGCCACCGGTCAAGCCCATACTTGACCGGTGTGAGATCGTAACACGTTGAACTAACTAATGTATTCATCCACGGTGCCGGTTTGTTAGAGTTGAAAAAGGTCTCCTGAAGGATTAGAGCTTGACGGGGGCCTAAAACGGAGAAGACAAATCTCTGAAAATATTTGTTGGTGCGCAAAGAACCGCTCACAGCATTTCAACCAACTCAGAGGTTCACCTGTACCGTCAAAGGATGGAAATTCAGGTTTGGAATAGCGAGGAATGATACTGGAATCACCACGGTCATGATTCTGGTTGTCATGGAGCAAGCTCGAACTGCTCTGATGGCTTTCATCGTCGGAGCTTGTAGATCTGCTACTCAATGATGTGAGTTGCGCAGAAACTTTTGAAGGTTTCAGCATCAGAGTATCATTGCCCATCGTCTTGGATGTTGCTGATACCAAGGCTATTGATGATGAAAGGCGGAATCTCAAGCTATGATGTTGTAATTGTAATAAAAATAAAAATAAAAGGGAAAGAGTACAAATATACCCCGGTATTATGGGTGTGAGAACAAATATGCCCATGTTCTATTTTTCGGAACAAATATACCCTTGAAGTATATGTGAAAGTGCATATATACCGTTCATGTTCTTAAAGGAGCAAATTTACCTTATTGACTTTAAATTGATCAAATAAATTTCAAAAAACGCCAAAACTAAATTATAAATTCGAAATTAAAAAAAAAAACTAAAATGTAGTTGTGTCCAATATTTCTCCCTTTTATAATTTTTATATCAGAAATTAATATGGTCACTATAAAATATTATTTCAAAACTTTACTATATATTTTAGATTCTTTTGAAAAAGTGCTAATTAACATATGTGTTGCAATGTAAAATGGATATTAATTTTTTGCATTCTTTGCACTATAAATTACATATTTTGTATGACGATAAGTAATCAAAAATTACAAAATAGTGAATTTATTTCAAAAAATGTAACAATGTGTTCAAATTTTCACAACAAGACTAAAATTAATAATTATGGATTTGAAGTGCTTCGTTTACAACTGAAAAATACTAGTTTTGAAATTTAAAATTAAAGAGTTAATATTTTAATATAATAAAAAATCTTTATTTTTAAAATTCGAATTTATAGTTTATTTTGGGTGTTTTTTTGAAATTTATTTTATTTATTTAAAGTCAACAAGTGTAAATTTGCTCCTTTTTAAGAACATGAGGGGTATTTTTGCACTCTTTAAAAGTTCAGGGGTATATATGCACTTCAACATATACTTCAGGAGTATATTTATTCCGAAAAATAGTACATGGGTATATTTGTTCTCACACCCAAACTACAAGGGTATATTTGTACCTTTTCCCTAAAAAAACATAACTTCCTGTCCCGGGCAAGGAAGGTGATCCCTGGCTCCACCAGCAAATCAAGACTGTCTAAAATACGGAAGGCTAGATAAATCGAAATACCTAGAGTAAGGAAAGCATAATAAAGGAACAACTAGAATAACTGATGGTCCCGGATAGGGGTAAAAGTCTAGAGAGGGGGGTGAATAGACTTTTAAAGCTTTTCAAACTTTAAAAACTTTTCCTTTTTAACGAGTTGATCTATAATCTTTAGAGAGATTTATAGATGCACAGCGGAAGTCTTTATCCTCTATGTAATCAGTGTATAACACTTTTCAGCTTGAATGATGTTTGGATTTTTTGAACAATGAGCAGTTGGCTTGGCAGTTGCCTGGATGGCAGGGAACTGCTGAGGCTACCGCTAGTGGAAAACAGGAGTTTGGGAGAGATGATTATATGGCCTTGAACAGAATGATGAGGGCTAACTGAAAATGTGCTGATCTGGAGAAAATAAGGAGTTTTGCCTGAGCAGAGGTCTGAGCAGTTGGGTAGACCAGGAAACAGGAAACTGCTAAGCCGCCTGCTGCGTATGAAAGAAGTATTTTTGAGAATTGACAAGTCAAACCTTTTAGAGTGGTATTCCAAAGCTCGTGTGAAACAGTTGTCTCAAGGAAAAGTGATTTATTAAGCAGTAGGATAAGCAGTAGAGTCAATTAAGACAACTGCTTAGGATGCTGCTGGCAAACTACGATCCCTTTAGTGAGAAGTGTTGGGTGTGTGCTCTGTTGAGTAAAAGAAAATCAAAACATGGTATATCCTGGTTCAGAGGTGGTGTAATCCTCCTACATCCAGTCTCACCCTCTTTCAGATGGATTTCCACTAAAGTATTAAGCCCAATACACTTAGTGTCAATCTAGCCTTTACAACACTTAGGCCTAGATTGAAGGTTTTTCACAATGAGTATGACACCTCTCAAAGTTACTCAGTCCTTAGACTTTTCTCAAATGATCCAGTGGGGATCAAAAGGTACTCTATCTATCTAACCACACTTTAGGATCCGAACAACTGTTCTCCTAAGTGTTTACAACCACTTTTGACAATATCACAGGGAGGTTTAATTCCAACTAAACCTAAGCTCTAATAATATGAAGGTGAAGATCTAATCTAAGAGCTTAGTGAAGCATGAGTCAAAGCAGAGAGTGAAGTTATGATCAAGCACTTTCTCTTTGCTAGATATTCTTTGAATGTTAATAGGATCTTTCTGCTTTTGAACTCAAGAACTTGATTTTTCAACTCATGCTTCGGCCTTTATTTATAGACATCTCCGGTAAGTTAATCTCATCTGTTGGTTGGGATGGATTAATCTTGATCGTTGAATCTTGATTTCAGAGGATAACAACTTGTTGTTTATCTTCTTCTTTGGAGCCGATAAGTTTTCTTGTTTGTTTGCCTAGCCACTGTAGCTTTTCCATTTCAAGTTGACTGTGCATCCCATACTGTACGTTCACACAAAAAAAATTTCTCCATGATGGGGTTATTTTTTATTGGCTCCAAACAATCGAACAGTTAATTTTTTAGTCTAATAAAATTTATACTGGTAGGATTTTAAATATCCCATTAACGTAAGTAAATTTACCTTATTGCATTTTTAATTTCCAGTATTAATTTTATTAGTCTTAGAAATTATACATTTATTTGTTCTCAATTAGACACATGTAAATTTCATACCACTGTGCCTTTTGTTTTTGTGATTAATGAAAATGTTTGTATTAAGGTAAATATATACCGGTAAGATTTAAATATCCCTTTTTAAGGTAAAAGTTACCTTATTGCATTTTGACTTTTCCAGTATATTTTACTTGATACAAACATTTTCATTTTGTCTTTCGGTCATTCTCAATTTGAATTGGCCCAGCTAGTATTTCGATCATAAACTATTTATTTAACTGGTAGGATAACAGATCCTATTAAGGTAAAAATTATTACCTTATTGCATTTTGTGTTCCAGTTAAATGAATAGTTTCGTTCTCCAAATGTCTTTGTTAAATTTTGTGTAACAAATAGATTTAACTGGTAGGATCTATAAGAAATTCTTTATAGGGTAATACATGATTACCTTATTGCTTTTTATGTTCGTCCAGTTAAATCTATTTGCTAGTTGATAAACAGATCATTTTCAGATAACATTTTACTAGCAAATTGGTTGAAGCAGAATACATCATTTGAGTTCCTAATGCTACAAAAGAAGGGGAGAAATAATTGAGGAGCTTTGGCATCATAAAAACTGTTCATCAAAATCTAGGGGTCTAACAATAACTAAAGGGAAATAATCAGGACAGCTTGTGGTCAATTAACTAGGCACCTTTTATGTGCCTCTAGTACACACGACCAAAACGACGTGTATCAAAACTAGTGGTTGTTTTATGCATCAAAACCTGCAACTACTCAACAAACTAATTAGTTTCATTGTTTCTAAATAATGAAACTCATCATTAGCCCAGGTCAGCTAACACTCTCTCATGGAGAGGTGTGGGAGAGAAATGCATTACTTCTCAATCTCTACCCTATTTGTTCTCCATTTCTTTCTTACCAAACAACTCAATTCATCTACAAATTTCTCTACTATTCTTCTCTTTATTAATCTTTTTCTCACCCATTCATCTTTCACTATTTCTTTCTCACTACTTTACTGCTTCCTTAATAATACAAAGGCTGTAAATAGAGTGTGCTATAAGTTAGACCTTTTGAACTGTTTCGGCCAAATGATGTTTCATAACAAGACAAGCCTCAAATGGAAATTGATTTATGTACTGTTGATCATTTAGTCCGGCAGCCTTCTTCACCTCCTCATCTACCTGCATACTCGTCCATATAATATGTGCATCCTTTGCATCAGATGCTGCAAACAAATCAACGCAAAAAAGTAATTGTTGGTGAATTTGATTGTCTACTGAGACTCTGAGTGTAGTGTAGTATACAAAAAAAAAAGCATCAAACCCCATTCCAGAGGGGCCCCTAGAACCGACCGGATAGTTATCTAGGAGGTTGTAAGTTGAGAGGTTGTAAATTGATCTTTGATCACACTCTGATTCTGGTAGAAAGAAAGTTCATCCCAAGTCATTGCTTGGAGTTTAACCCTAGACCTGTCTCTTGTGGCACCTTGTTCCTACTAAGTGAGCTTCGCCCCTCGCTAGTATAAAAATATGAGTTATCGTCGCTTGAGGAACCTTTTGTGGTTAATTATGCCCATTCTAGCAGCTACTACCAGTGCTTACCATGCTTGTCACGGCGGTAAGTCGAGCCGCGGTGCCAGCCTAAGCGATAAGGCGCCCGCCTAAGCGACTAGTCGCACATTCTATATTATATTTTGTCATATATATAATTATATATATAATATAATACATTACTAATTGAATTGTATTTGTTTATATATTACTAATGTATTACAAAAAGTAAACTACGTATTTAATTATTTACATTTTTCATATGTTTGTATACTTTACAAACAATTAAACTACGTAAACTCAGTAAAGTATATAATATATTTGGGCATAATTACGCATACCATGTTTACAAAATACTCTGTATATACGTATTTATATAAATATACAACTTAATTAATTAAAATATTACTCCACTAGACCAGAAAAAAATAGACCGTACTGGTCGTCTCCTCGGCGCAAATATGCTTACGCGAGGGACTGAGGGAGGGCGAGACGCGGAAGCTCTCCTGCTTCCTGGAGTTGCTGCGGTACGTATGATTCCTCCGACTTGTCTGGCTAGTCTCTACGACTTGAGTTCGAAGGAAACAAATAGCCCGTAAGATTATCAGATACCTTTGGGCTTTGTTTTCAATTAAAAGCTTAAATCTATTTTTTTCTGGGCCTGCGAACGGTTGTTGACTGGCAAAAAAGGCGACGACTTGTCACAAAATCGCGCCTAGGCGACGCCTGGAGGACGCCTATCGCGACTATTCTTCTTCTGGTGAGGCGAGTGAAGATGGCGATAACTCCCTAGCGCCAGGACGGCGACTAGGCGACGCCTAGGCGACGCCGTAACAAGTATGGTGCTTACTAATTGTCCTTTTATTTTGGGTCTATACCAAAATAATGTCTAATTTTCTAATTCAAACACCATATTTTACTTTTCCTAATTCACCACCAATTGACTCTTACATTTTTTTACGCAACTAGCCCCACTTGAAGAGTGATTTTGAATAAAGAGTTACATTTTACTTGTTTATAAAATCACACAAAATAGGAGCATCCCTACCGTTAGGTCATCGCTCGAAAGAGATGTATATCCTTCCGCCTCGGGTGGTGTCAAATATGCAAGGGCGCGCTACACTTCATAGGCTTGAGTGTGGTGATAAGTATATTAAGGTTACCAGGTCGTTGCCCGGAAGCGGTGCGTCATATGAGGTAGTCGAGGTTATGAGGAGGGGGGTATCACTAATATCAGCATTATGTGCGTGTAAGAAACAAAATGGGTTAGAAAGAAGGAACAATAGATTAATACTCTAGATTTTAAGTTGTGGCATACAAAGAGAGAGGACCAGAAATGGAGTAAGCATTACTTGGCGTGTGACTATGTTGAAAATGTGGTGGAAGTCTTTAGGAAGAATAATCGCATTATGAGCATTAAATTGGTAATAGGGGATGAAATCGTGTCTCTAAGTGTCTATGCACCTAAGTGGGGTGGGATGCATATCGCATCTATTACTCAACAATCCTGGGAAGATCTTGAGAGAGTAATGTGATGAGTGCCAAGGAGAGATAAATTGGTCATAGGAGTCAACCTGAACGGGCATGGGCTTGGGTCAGGATGGTTTTGAAAGTATTTATGGACATGGTTTTGGCACCAGAAATGAAGCGAGAAAGAACATTCTGAATTTCACATCAACGTGTGAGTTGGCTATAATAAACATTTGGTTCAAGAAAAGAGGCTCACACCTTGTGACCTATAGACGTGGAGCTAATAGTACCCAAATTAACTACTCCCTCCATCCCGCTAAGATTGTCTCATCTTTCCTTTCTGATCTATCCCATTAAGATTGTCCAATACCAAATTTGATAAAGTTTGTGTGGTTCTAAATCATTCTTACCTTATTCTTTAACAATTCAATATCAACCACATGAATCCACTTTTCTTAATAAGCGTACCACCTCCCCATGTCCCAATGTTAGTGGGACGAAAGTAGTATTTCTTAGGGTAACAAACTACTTGGAGACTAGCTACTCAACATAAGATGTTTGTGCTTGATTTCTGTTACATGGGCTCCATAAATCAAAAGAGTGGTGAACTAGATGGAGATGTATCTCATAGAATCGGAACAAGGTGGATGAAATGGAAGAATGTGTTAGGGTTTCTATATGATCAAAGTATGCCAACTAGACTAAAGGGTAAGTTTTACCGGACAGCGATTAGGCTTGAATTACTATATGACGTAGGGGGTTGAGCAGGGAAACAATGTCACATTCAAAAATAGTGTGGCTCTGTTGCGCATGTTGTGTTGGGTGTGTGGACATACTAGAAAAGATTGCTTGAGGAATGAAACAATCAGGTAAAAGGTAGGAGTAACACCTATTAAAGATAAGATGTGAGTCTCGATTGTGGTGGTTTGGGCATGTGCGTAGAAGATCAAGTGATGCAGATGTTAGACGAGTTGAGAGGTTGGGAGAAGAGTCGATGAGGAGATTGAGAGGAGGACCCAAACATACGTGAATTATAGGGATGAGGAATGATTTGGTACTTCTTTGGTTGAATGGGAGTGTGCCTTTGGATAGAGCGAAGTGGAGGGAGAATATATGTGTGCAGGACTGATCTCATTTTATCTTTTTTATCATTTTTACTTCCTTGTTATCTCTTTTTTTAACTTTCATATCTTCTTTATCTTTTTATTATATCTTTATTTTACCCTTATCTTTTCTTTAGCTTTTTATCTTATCTTATATTTTTATCTTTTTTAGCTCCAATTTCACATATCGCTCATGTTAGCCGACACCAAATTCTTTTGGCACCAAGGCTTGAATGTTATTGTTGTATAAAAAACACGCAAAAAGAAAACTAAACTTATATTTTGGGACAGGTGGAGTATTACACATAAAAACATGTGCAACATGAAAGGGGGGGTATGGCCTAAGACAGAGAGTAATTCATACATGGTTCAAACTGAAGGTAGGAAAGGAGAAGACATACTTATTACAAATTCAGGGCGGCTCAAGAATTCATCCACGTGAGGTATATCTGTATAAACACGCAAAGCACTTCCATTGGTACAGTACAAAGAACTTGTTAGAGGTGATGCCTGCAGTGGGGAAGTAAACTTGATTGATTGCAACCACTCCCGGCACCTCTCATACTCCTGAATATCATAAAAGCAATGACTTTACCAGTAGTGATCAATGTTCTGAATTCATCAAATAGTGCCATTACTGGCCAAGCTCAGAGACAGGAAAAGGAACCATACTTTAACAAAGTAATTACGTGGGGTGTGGAACCATGCTGTAAGTCTAGCCAAGCGTTGTTTGTCTTCTCCAATTCCAAGTAGGAAATCACGAGTGCACTCATTATTTCTTTGAATATCATCAATTGGCCAAAAAATTGAATAGCTGAAACCGATCACTCAGCAGCTTATTAGAAATTACAGAGGGGGGCACAACAGCATTTCCACATGTATGGCATAATGGCGATTGAACCCATTACCCAAGTGAAAGAATCTCATTTCAAAATAAAAATAGAGTGCACATAGTGTTTGCATGATGGGAAGTTTTTCTTCATAACAATGAATTCCACATTTGTATACCAAAACTGTTGCCCCTTTCCTTTTTTTATTTACTAGACTAGATCATAGTTGCTGAGGAATGCTCAGAGGTTTAAGTGTGCAAAAAACTCATCATCATCATCACCCTACTGCCGCAAAGGCTCCCACCTACGGTGGGGTAAGGGGGGTCGGATGTACACAGCCTTACCCCTGTACTAAAAGTACAGAGAGACTGTTTCCGGATGACCCAGGGTGAAAATTGCATCGAAAACTGCATGAACTGACTGTTGTTTCATAACAAAGAAGCGCAGACAATTTAGTGAGCCATTTTGCTTTATTCCATCATATTTCTAAGCCAAAAAATAGTAAATCATTGGCTCCATTGTAAATGATGGAACAAGGTGTGCAAAAAACTAACTACTTAAATAGTAAATAGAGGTCCCAGACTTCCAAAGTATACGAAGAAAAAGAGTAAAATTGTAAACACTCAATGTTGACACTTATTATGGGTCCAATGCATAGTCACATCTCAATGAATTATACAAAATAGAAGTGGTAAAGTAATTAACAGACAATTTGAGAAGAGAACCTCATAGCGGATTCCAATTCACCACTTGGCATGTAGAGGAATGGAGACACTCTGAAATTCGGTTCATCACTGTGTCGTAGGGATGAACCTAATTCATCCATTACATACCTGCGCAGGAAAAAACAAAAGTTTATCTGCATACAGATTACACTAGGATTACATGGCTCAGAAAATAACGGGTTGTTCAGTTGACAGGAAGTAGTGTTGGAACTTGAAATGGAAATTAAATTCTATTGGACATAATTTTGAAGGAATTAAGCAGGTTAAAAACTCCTGTGTTTGTTTAATAGCAGCAAAAGCGAATATAAAGTACCATGTTCACTTAACTATGAAACTCAGTAGGAATGATTTCTATGATGACCCAAATGCCCTAACTCATAAAGTATATAATTAGTCATAATCTAAAAATACATGTCATTGAATTATAAATTAGCTAAAAGAGTATTTAGTTCATTGATCAACCTGTTTGCTGATATAATATTCTATGCGCCACCAAATAACGTGAACTTCTCATTGCTTATATACGATGCTATCTTTTACAACACTAAGACAAAAGAAGATTGTACATGAGTTTTCTGTATTAGCATTTATCTCCTATTATAATTATTCTTAGTTTGATTTACGCAACTTCTTAATTAGCATTTACTTCTGTTTATCATTAGGAATCTTGTAATAGTTATATAAGAGTCATCAGTATTATTCAATAAACAGCTTTGGAAGAATTAATTATTGTGTCTTGGCAAGGTCGGGCACCGATAAATTCTAGCTTCGCTTATTTTATTATTCCTTTCTCATATTCTCTATTTCCTAGAACGAAATGAGATCCCAACCACGCCCATAACAGTTTGGTACCAGAGCCATCACGTTCCTACCCGATTCATCATATTTCGCACCTTTTCGGTTTCATCACGTTCAAAATGTTTTTTTGATTGTCGATTTTTCTTAATCCAGAATCCCAAAAAAGAAACCCAACATGATCAACAACCCTAAACCTCTTCATGAAGGCTTCTGGACTCATCGCTGACAAAAACCAGAAAAGTTTATGCACAACTATTGGACTTTTAGCCTTGTTCTTAAACGCCAATCAAGATATGAAAAGTTAAGCACTTATGTGTATTATTTTTTAGTTCTACAGTTGGTTTTGTTAGAATTTCATTATTTCACTTTTTAATTTTTTCTCCTTCAATTTTTTCATTTAGCTTACCTTTAGAAAAGAATGGATTATCGAATTTTGCATGTCACCGTCTCTCAAATATGTAGTTCCTTTGATGAGTATGATTTGTTCTGTGCTTTTGGTGAAAGATCGGTGCAACATATTGAAATTTTGAAATCCGACGGGATTGAGTTTCAACCCTTGGTATATTTTGATTCATCTCTAGAGTCTAAGGCACGGTGACTGCCCTATTAGAACTTCAAGGAAAGAATATTTATGAAGATGGTTTTAGAGTGAAAATATTGTATGAGTCCCCACTACTGCATTCATCATCTCCTTCGCGGGCAACAACCCCACTACCAGCTTTAATGTTGCCTCAAAAACAGCCAACTCCCCATCATTTGTTACTTCAAGAACATCCTCCTCTGGTTCAAACAATTCCATTGCACTAAGCTTTGCCATTAGAAAAGCAGTCACCGCTAACTCTCTTGCCGCAAAAAACTTTGCAATCACTATCAAAAAAATTATTGATGCCAGAAACTCCTCTTTTGGGGCAGCCGCTATCACTAGATGAATCATCTCTGCTGCCTCCCAAGATCACACGAACATTGCTTACAATTTTGAATCACATAAGGGACGCACCACATGCTTCAGTGGAGGAGGAATTTGATAGAGATGCGCAGTTTCAATACAGAAATCAATAAGGAAATCTAGCTAATCTACAGAGAAATTAGCTCAAGAACAATTCTGCACTTTATTCAAGCAAGGTAAACAGTACAATAGTCCCAAAGGAAAGAGATAGTACTCGATCCTTCCCAGTCCCAAGCCCAAGCGTCTAACAGCCTGCCTTCCGCCTTCCCTCTGCAAGAAGAGTTCTATTTATACCCTTCCACAAACGGAAGGTAGTTATTATTAATACCAGCCAACTAACTAATAACTAACTAGCCTACTTTGACCTTCTAGAATACACTTGCCCAAAGTATTTATTCTTATTAAGTAGACTAGCCGGGTACATATCAATACCCCCTCCTTGAACAACCAACTTGTCCTCAAGTTGGAATTCTGGGAACTGAGCTTGCAGCATGTTAGCATCCTCCCATGAGTCTTCAAAATCAGGGAGTTCCTTCCAATGTACAAGGACGTCCTTCTTCCCTTCCTGACTTATTCTGATGTCCCTCACCTCATCAGGACTCACTTGAGGCTCACACCCTTCTGTGAGGCAATCTGGGAGATTCTGATAATTCACAGTTGGTTTCAGCACTTTCTTCAGTAGAGATATATGGAATACAGGGTGTATCCTACTGCCTTCTGGTAATTTGAGTTTGAAAGCCACAGAACTGAGCTTTTCAATGATTTCATAAGGTCCATAAAATCTTGGGCTGAGCTTTTGATTGATTTTTTTAGCCAAACTTCTCAACTTGTAGGGCTGTATCTTTAGAAATACTTGATCTCCTACTTCTAGTTTCTCCTCCCTTCTGTGTTTGTCTGCATGTTGTTTCATCAAGTTTTGTGCCCTGGCTAAATTCTCCTTCAACTCATTCAACATCAAATTCCTTTCATCTGTCAGCTTTGCTACTTCCTCCACTGCAGTCATGTTAACATCACCTCTTATAATAGGGGAAGGTGACTGTCCAAACAAAGCCTGAAAAGGAGTACTTTTCAGAGAGCTATGGTAGTTTGTATTGAACCAATACTGAGCCCAAGGAAGCCATTTCACCCACTGCTTAGGCCTCTGACCAGTCAAGCATCTTAAATAGGTCTCAAGACACCTATTTACCACTTCAGTCTGCCCATCACTTTGGGGATGATAGGCAGTACTATATTTAAGTTTTGTTTCAGCTAACTTGAACAGCTCAGACCAGAAGGAGCTCAGGAACATGCTGTCTCTGTCACTGACCATGGATTTTGGAAATCCATGAATCTTGACTACCTCTTGCACAAAGACTTCTGCAACTCCCTTGGCATTGAATGGGTGTGCCAAAGGGATAAAGTGTGAAAACTTGGTCAACTTGTCTACCACAACCAAGATAGTGTCCTTGCCCTGTGATCTTGGTAACCCTCCAATGAAATCCATGCTGATGTCTGTCCACACCTGATCTGGAATTGGTAAAGGTTGCAACAGTCCTGCAGGCTTTAAAGCCTGATACTTGTTCCTTTGGCAAATCTCACACCCCTGAATGTAATCCTTGATGTCAGACTTCATTCCCAACCAAAAGAACAAACTGGATATCCTCTTCATAGTTTTGAAATAACCAGAATGCCCACCTATGGCTGAATCATGATATTCTTTGAGAATGGTCAGTATCCTAGGAGATCCTTTTGGCAACACCATCCCGCCCTTATAGTATAATAATCCACCCTTGCTCTTGTAATCTAGATACTGATCTGGCTGAGTCATCATTCTCTGAATCACCTCCTTCCATTTAGGGTCCCTCTCCAGTTCTTCTTCTAAACCATCCCATTCCTGGCATATCACTGAAGATAAAGCAACATAGGTAGATTTTCTAGAGAGAGCATCTGCAGCTTTATTTTCAATTCCAGGCTTATACTTGATAGTAAAGTTGTATCCCATCAACTTGGCTATCCATTTTTGCTGATCTTCTCCCATGGCAGTTTGTTGAGTCAAGTATTTCAGGCTGCGTTGGTCAGTATGTACTTCAAAACTCCTCCCTGGCAGGTAAGGCCTCCACTTCTGTATGGCAAAGACAATTGCCATAAGTTCCTTCTCATAAACTGATTTGGATAGGTGCCTAGGAGACAATTCCTTACTCATGTAGGCAATTGGACCTCCATCCTGCATAAGAACTGCACCTAAACCCTTACCAGAAGCATCAGTTTCCACCACAAAAACTTTATTAAAATCTGGGACTCTGAGTACGGGTACATTAGTCATAGCCATCTTCAGTTGTTCAAAAGCTTGTGTGGCACTCTCATTCCATTTGAATCCATCTTTCTTTAGTAGATTTGTTAATGGAGCAGCAATATGGCTGTAACCTTTCACAAATCTTCTATATTACCCAGTCAACCCTAAGAATCCTCTTAATTCTTTTAGGTCTTTAGGTATATTCCATTCCTTCATTGATTCTATCTTGTCAGGGTCAGCAGCTACCCCATCCTTAGATATCACATGCCCCAAGTAGCTCAATTTCCCTTGGCCAAAAGAGCATTTCTTTCTATTGGCCACTAGATTGTTCTCCTGTAATGTTCCCAACACCTTCTTCAAATGTTCTTCGTGATCACTTTTAGTTTTACTGTAAACTAAAATATCATCAAAGATTACCAATGTAAATCTTCTTAGGTAGGGTCTTAAAACCTCATTCATAAGAGCTTGAAAAGTTGCAGGAGCATTGGTCAGCCCAAAAGGCATAACCACATACTCACAATGCCCTGCGTGGGTTCTGAGTGCAGTCTTATGAATATCGCAGCTCTTCATACGAATCTGGTGATAACCTGACTTTAAATCCAATTTAGAGAAGATCCTGGCACCTCCCAGTTCATCTAGCAATTTAGAGAATATCACAACTCTTCTATGACTGGGATAGGGAACTTATCAGGAATAGTAACTCTATTTAGGGCCCTATAATCCCCACAGAATCTCCACCCCCCGTCCTTTTTGACAAGTAAAACAGGACTACTATATGGGCTATTACTATTCCTTATGATTCCAGATTGCAGCATCTCATCTATAATTTTTTCTATCTCGTTTTTCTGATCAAAAGTATACCTGTAGGGCCTCAGATTTGGTATATTAGCACCTTCTTTGATCCTGATGGCATGATCACAAGCTCTAGCTGGTGGAAATTTGAGCTGAGTAGTAAAAACTTCAGGAAATTCAGCTAATAGCTTCTCCCAATCCTCCTCACCTTCCAATTCCTGCCTCTTGCCCTTATCCAGCCCTTCATAGCATAATAAGTATCCATCCCCATTCTGCTGCAATATGTGAGCCATGGTTTTGAAAGAAACTTTCAGTTGGTTCAAAGCTGTGTCTTCCTTTAAAATGAACTCCTGATCTTCAATCCTCCATCTCAGAATTTTAAGTTTAAAGTTCACTTCCATGTCACCTAATCCAGTCAGCCACTCCATACCTAACACCAAATATGTATCTCCTAAATCCAATATATAATAGGTTTGTTGAATGTCAATCCCCTGCACATTCACTTTCAGTTCAGTACATCTGCCTCTATTCGCAATGCAATCACCATTACCAATTTGTACTTTGTAGCCATGGATTGGGGTATATGGAATCTGCCATCTTCCTACTAGTGTCTGGGATACAAAGTTGTGTGTAGCACCACAATCGATGAGAATACTGACTAGTTTATTCCCTCCTGGCCACTGCATTTGTCCCTTGACTTTGAAAGTATTCATGGAAGGGATACCCTCTTTGCTTAAAACAGATAGCTGCATAGTTTTTAGCTCCAAGATGGGTTTGTTTTCTTTTTCTGACCCTATGATTTCCTCATCAGACTCATATTCACCCTCAGTCTGCTCCACCAAAATCATTTTGTAATTTTACATCTTGCAAACATGTCCTTTCCCCCAACTTTCTCCGCATTTAAAACATAGACCCTTTTTACTTCTTTCTAACAATTCACTTTGGGATAATCTGGGGCTCCTGTGCTGGATCTGTGTTATTACACTGTCATTTGGCTTGCTTTCCTGTATGATCTTGCCAGAAGTTGTGGTAGCATTAGGGTTACTCTTCCACATACTACTATTTCCCCAATTCAGCTGCTGATTATCAAATCCATTCTTCCCATTCCACCGTTTCTTGCCTTCATCCTTGTTCTTCTTGATCATGACTTCATTGTTTTTATTCTCAATCAATCCGGCTACATCCATAACCTTAGCTAGGGTTCTGGTACTGTATAGTTTCAATTCAGCCCTCACATCTCTCTTGAGTCCCTTCAGAAATATTCCTTTCAAAACCTCTTCACTAAGATGCTTTTGAGAAGCCATAGCCACTTCAAACTGTGTCCTAAACTCTGCCACTCAACCTCTTTGCTTCTAACTGAGCAAAGGTCCCAAGGGATTATGCACGAGGTCAGGTTGAAACCTCTTGGTCAACGCTTCTTCAAATTCTTCCCAATTCCGTGTAAGGCCTGTCGCTCCCACCATTGGAACCAACTAAGTGCCTGATCTTCCATAGCAATCACCGCAACATCAATTCTGTCTTCTTCCTTGGTATTATTCAACCTAAAGTAACGATCCATTCTTACTAACCAGCCGAAAGCATCTTGACCATTAAAACGAGGTAGGTCAATTTTCCGACCTGTTTGCTGATTGTGATGGCTTCTGTGATGATCGTTATCCATATGTAATGAAGAAGATACCGAATGATCATCAGATCTATCTGAACTGTCCGATCCTTTCTTGTGTTTGCGATGTGAGGTCCGATGCGACCTGCTTCGCGATTTATGCCTATCTCTCTCCATCAACGCGGCGATATTGGCTTGCATCGTTGCCATGCTCGCCTCCATCGATGCCACCATTTCCCATTGACTCCTCTCGATTTCAGTCATTCTCCCTTCCATCTTTGCACGCGTCCAGATCATTCAGCGCACAAAACCTGCTTTGATACCAATGATAGAGATGCGCAGTTTCAATACAGAAATCAATAAGGAAATCTAGCTAATCTACATAGAAATTAGCTCAAGAACAATTCTGCACTTCATTCAAGCAAGGTAAACAGTACAATAGTCCCAAAGGAAAGAGATAATACTCGATCCTTCCCAGTCCCAAGCCCAAGCGTCTAACAGCCTGCCTTCCCTGCCTTCCCTCTGCAGGAACAGTTCTATTTATACCCTTCCACAAACGGAAGGTAGTTATTACTAATACCAGCCAACTAACTAATAACTAACTAGCCTACTTTGACCTTCTAGAATACACTTGCCCAAAGTATTTATTCTTATTAAGTAGACTAGTCGGGTACTTATCAGAATTGAATCTGAAGCCTTCCACTGCACATCCACCTACATCAACATTTGTAAATTATTTTTATAATTTACAAGTGATGCCTTTTGTGAAGTAGCTTTGCAATGGGAAATCCCCAACCTGATAATTGGTTTGGGAAAAGCACCCAAGAGGCAACCAGAGGATTTAATTGCCCTTACTTGGAACAATGCCATGACTTTATAGTAGTTTATACTACTCAATTTGGGTTAGCACTAGTGTCAGCAAATCTTAAATGGGGCAATATCACAAATGATGCTTTTGTAATCAGACCATTTGATCGTGGCAAAGACAGACATTACGAGTTACTTCCCTCCAAGCTTGAGGAAAAGCTCAATGCCCAAGATGAGAGTAACTATATGAGCATGGAAACTTGATATTATTATTATTACAATTACTACTATCCATATGCATGCTTTAGACAGTTTCTTAATTAGCATTTAATTCCTTTTATAATTAGAACTCTTGTAATAGCTATATAAGGGTCGCCAGTATTACTCGATAAACAACTTGGGAAGGATTCATTCATTCGTGTCTTGACAAGGTTGGGCACTGATTAATTCTAGTTTAGCTTGTTTTATTATTCCTCTCATATTCTATTTCCTAAATCCGAAATGAGATCCCAACCACGCCCATAACACAAACATGGTGCTAAAACAAGGTAGAAATATAGCTCAGGTTTGTTAGGATATATGAGTCTCTCTCTGTGTGTAGAGAGAGTGAGAAGTCAATGTTGATAGGCCATAGGGGGGAAATGTACACACGCATCATATAAGTACTTGCATGATGTGACGAATTTCAAATACTTGGATGTTATTCCACATTTTTATGGATTTAAAGTTTAGTGGAAGTTAAAATGCTCCCCATCAAACATGAATAAATTTGAGTGTTCCGGATTATAGGAGAAAAAAATTAAATTCCTCCCAACCAAACATGTTGTATGTATTAAAAGCTCATGTAGATTCAAGGCATGATTTAAAAAGACTCTTGCAGGGCGGGTTTTGAGGCACTACTCAAAGTGAGGCGTATAGATTGGGTATCAGGGCTTAGGTTTTTCACAGTTCAAGAGGGTTACGCCTCAAAAGTTATGACTTAAGCCTAGAGGCGCACCTTGAGGCATTTTCTTGAGGTGATTTACCTTTGTTTCAGTATTTTTAATGTGCAATAATTTAGAAAAGGCCCAAGGTATTTCATTTAGTAAAAAGCCCAGAGTATGTTATGAATAGAAGCCCATAAAAAACACGTGTCTACACTAAACCCTATCTTGTTTCATTTTAAACCCTATCTTGTTTCATTTAAACCCTAACAAGTCTTTGTTTCACTTAAACCCTAATGTATACTTTCTCGTTTCGTTAAAATAATTTCATCCTCCTGGACAAATAAGTTTTCATTCTCCAATCATGCTTGATGATGTGGTCTGTTTGTGTATTTGAATTCTCACTTTTGAACTATCATGTTTGATGATGTGGTCATATCTGTAATCTGTTACTAGCTTATTGGTATTAGCTCATGTGTTTGTATTACATACTTTTTGGAGTTATAATTATGGACATCTTTAGTTGCTTGCTACTAGTTTAACTATTTTAAGTATTGTTTGTTGGTATATTTTGAGGCTTACGCCTTGCCTCTTCGGAACAAACCGCCTTGATACCCAAACTAGCCTTTTTAAACCTTGATTCAAGGTGCTACCTTAGCATCATTATGGGACACAATTCAATTATAGAGAACATTATATACTGAAACTCAAAGAAAATTATCAAATCCAAACGCATACATTACAGAGGTTTCATCAATTTTTTCTTCATCTGCAAGTCTGTATGTCATCAAGTATAACCACATTGCATCTGTAATGCGGTCAGGAATAGGTTCTCCAGCTTTCCATTCAGGAAGGCGCGGTTGGAGCATTGAACCAAGAACAGACTTACCTGACTCATAAATTCTGGATGTGCTTACGCCATTCAGGACAGCAAGATATGGCAGTTCTTCAACTATCCTAACAGCGTTCTCGCCCAGAGGCCCAGGTATATCCACCTGATCCATTTCTCTCATTAGACTTTTTCCATGTTAAACTCTAAGAGTTAGGCCTCCTGAATATACCTCCAGAGAACGCAAGCAACTGAATTGCTTAAGGAGTTTCAATAAATCACTTGCAGTGTTGTGATCCAATGGATTTCCATGAATGTTCAAATGTGAGAGAGATGGCATTTCAGCAGGAGAAAATGCCTTGACACAAGAAAAGAGTGAAAAAGAAAATGAGACAGGACTAAAATAGAAGCCAAACAGGCAATACAAGTATGGATAAATTTATAACCAGTAATTTTCATTCCATTTTCACTCGTTACTGAATATTGATGTTTATCCTGCACTTTTTGAACCAGAGAAAGAAAACAGGTTGAAAGGAAGTCACCTTATTGAGGAGGTTGCTAATGGATCTATTGGATAGGTCCAAAGAATCAATGGAGAGCAAGGGTTGGTCAACGTGATATACACATTCTGGACTGTCTTTATTGTAAATTTCTCCACAATAACCTAACGCCCACTCACCATAATGTGGAGTGAACCTAGAATTGAAAATTTCCAATCTCAGGCAACCTTGAAGAATGGTATCTTCCAGACAACCATCACTGGGGAAAAAATCAAATAGTCATTACTCTTAACTTGTGCAGCAAATTTCTACTATAAGAATTAAGAACAAATTATGAGCTTACTCATTTTCCAAAATTGGATTGTTGTTCAACCATAGAGCTCTGAGATTATTGAGTTGGGTAATCTCTTTTACAAGAATTTCAACATTCTTGAGGTTGTTGCCACACAAACTTGTTGCAAGCAAATTCTGGTTTGAAATGAAGTAGTTATGGGGCATTAAAAGATAGGAACTAAACATTTTCCCTTCACCTAAAAACTGAGATCTGATGTGAATTCTTAAGATCTGATCTCGTCGAATCATTGGGAATAAATAATAGGCAAAAAGAATAAGGTGAAAAAGAACACAGACTAAGAACAGTAGTTAACATAGCCTATTAGATAGTAGGAAGTGAAGAGCATACAGGAAATTTATGAGGCAAATCAAGAGAAGAGAGCATATGATCATCAATTCCAAGGTCATCAAGCTCCAACCACCTTAAAGCATCACCTCCTTCTGTGACCTTAATGACTTTTCTTGCAACTATGTCCTCAGCACTCAATTTAGGATCATCTTCAGCTCCACCAGTGTCACCTACCTCAACAATGTGTGACAAATCAGCATTCAAACACATTACTGCAGCCATTCGTTCTGCCAGTCCGGGGACTTCTTGTAACTGTAATTGTGGGAGAATAACCAGAACTTCAAATGTGAATAGCCAATAAACATAAGCACATGTATCATGTGAATATGTTCACAATATCTCAACCTAGCCAACACGCTTAACAGTTCGCTCTTACTTTTGAAGCAGGTTGAATATATCTAGACCATCTTCAAGTTAATCAGCAATGTTTGGAGGCTTATATTCCAAACTGTGATAATCTTATTTCATATTATCATATATATTTTCGTCTTTTCGATGTCTCTCAAGTAATGTAGCGAGTCCAATAAAATTATAAAGCAGTTATTTGGTATTCTTCATTTCCCTTCTTACTTTTTAGTGTTAATCACTTGTATTTGAAAATTATCTAGCCACGCAAAGCAAATATAAAGGTGAGGCTAACACATGCATAGGTGCATGGGTAGTAAATACATGTAATTGACTATGCTGCGCATGAGCAAAATTAGACTCATCCGTCATCCATACCACCAATAGTTCTTTACTGAACCGCATCTATGCCCAAAGGGGTTTTCAGTAATAGGACATTATTCTCCTGTTTAGATTCCTATGGCTCTTTGCCAACCTTCGAGAAGTGGTTTTTCACTATTTTACACAATCAAACGTTGAGTCCAATGAGAGTCAACACATTTCCCGTAAACTACCCCAGAGACCAAACAGCACAATCAAACCTGCTTATAGGCGTCAGCGAGGCGGAAAGTCCAAGCATGGTCAACCAGAAAGAGATCAGACTCCTTAGCCAAATAATCTGAAGTGAACACCAGGCGTCTTTGCTTTCCGTCCTCCAATGGCTCGATCTGGAAGTGTTGGCCGCCGTCGAACGTTTCTTCTGTGAGCTTCCGGAAGAGCAGGGGGTAGAGTTTCAGCGGTATTCCGGAGGAAGCTAATAGCACGCCGTGGACTTTAATGAAGTCGTCGTAAGATAGCATGGCGGGCATTTGCACTGGTCCTAGAGACCCTAACAATAAGTTGCGACTGAGACAGACGAGAAATTTAGGCTGAAGACCAAAGGCTAGTTTTTGGTAGTTTATACGAGTCAATGGCCTGTTTGAATGGAATGTAATTGGGAGTTTATACGAGTTAGGGTAAATTATATCGTACAGCCGGCTGTACGGTGCTCACAGTACAGCCGGACCTTTTTGTAATTAAATCTGCATCGCTGCAACTCAAATCTGTCGGCTCTATTCTCGTCTCTTCCAGGTTCCGGCTAAAGCCTAGAACTAGAAGGCGGCCCCCGATATAATTTGTAGAATCGAAGGAATGAATCGAAGTGAATTTACAGCTTCGAACAAAGGGATTTAAAGGTAGCCGCCGATATCATGCTTAATATGGGCGTCCATCGTTTCTGAGCATTCTGCAAATCTCACCTAAAAAATCTCAAAGCATCAAACTTCCACTTCTATGCATTTATCTTCAAATAATTGAATCTCGGTCCGATTTAATTCAAAATTACAAGCTCTACTTCCTCTACTCATTCACATACACAAATGAATATTGAACACATTAGAAATGAGATTTATGTTAAACTCAAATGAGTATAATGCCTAAAACGAATGTGCATACACCAATGAGTTTTTGATTTTTTTGATACTCATATTGTAAGTTACGTATGCTCTATTGATACTTATGTTATGCTCATTTTAAGTTATCATTTAATAAATGAATATTTCAAAAGTACCATATTATACGACATTCATAAAAGTTGATCAAAGATATCATTTAAAAAAAAATTATAAAATAAAAAATAAAAAAAGAAACTAAATTAGAAGAAGATGTGAATTGTTAGGTTTCACGATGCTCATTATATCGATGCTCATTTTATAAGTTATATATGCTCATTTGGTACTTATATTAAGCCCATTTTTTAAATGTCATATCAATGCATATTTCAAAAGTATCATATTGCATTAGATTCACATATTGAACTTCATAGGGATTGATTGTAGATATAATTTAATACATTTCTATAAAAGAAAAAATGTTAAAAGAAGATGAATTAGAAGATATGAAGCAAAGATTGTGATGCTCAATATTAGACTCCTAATACTCAACAAAATAGGTCTAGTGCTAATTAAAAGTTCCTTAATGATCATTTAACATAAAGCGTTATTTTCATCTCAATACAGGAGGTTTGATGCTCAATGAAAGTATCGTGACGTCCAACTAACAAAGTTGTGTATGCTCATTTGATACTGATATTATGCTCATTTTTAAAATGACATATCAATGCATACATCAAAATCACCATATTACATTAAATTTGCATATTGAAGTTTATAAAAGTTCATTATAGATGATAAATTTAATAAGTTTTTATAAAAGAAAAAATAAGAAAAACAAAACGAATTACAAGATATGAAGGAGAGATCATGATGTTCATTGTTAGACGCTTAATACTCAATAGAATACGTCTGATGCTCATTAAAAGTGTATTAATGCCCATCTAACAAAAACCACGATCTTCACTGAAATTACGAAAATGCCACCGTTTTTTAGTTGTGATATCAGCTTTTTTGTCATAACACGATGTTCATTATTAGACGCTTAATACTCATTCAAATTGGACTATTGCTCATTAACAGTACACTAATGCTCATTTAGTAGAAACCGCGATTTTCACATTATTACAAAAATGCCACCGAATTATTTTGCTATTTTTTCCTTAGGCCTGTTTTTGGGCCGGCTGTACGGTGCTCACCGTACAGCCGGTTGTACAATATACATACTCACGAGTTAGGGGTGTTAGGTCGGATCAAAACTGTTTTTCCTTTTTCAGGGAGCAAAAGTTTGAGTTTTTGGATGTAAGTGCAGAAATATTTCTGGTGTTCTAATTTATTACTAAAATAAGTTTTTTTTAGAAATTGAGGGAGACCAACTTATGATTCTGCTTCTGCATTAAAAAAGAAGCAGAAGCAGAATCAGTTTCAAACACCTTTTAGGGAGTGTTTGCAACAACTTAAAAAAGCACTTCTCAGCTTTTGACTTAAAAAGCACTTATTTACCAAACACTATCAATTTTTACTTTTTCTCAGTTTGCGTGTGAAAAGTGTTTTTCCCTTTTCTATGACATAAAAAGCCTCTATTTTACCAAACACTATCAACTTTTACTTTTCAAAATCATTTTTTTCTCAAACACTATCAACTTTTACTACTAATCATTTTTCCTTACATTTCCAAAAGTGCTTTTTTTAAACATAAGCAGTTGCAAACACTCCCTTAATGACCTGTGTGAATGAAATGAAATGAAATGTTGGTGAGAGGGGTTAATAATGGAAGTACCAATAAATAAGTGTGGGTAAGGGTCCGGGAGGGAAAAGAAGGTAAGCGTAAGTGTTAATTAACTTTGTTTCACAAATTATACCGTGAAATTGGCTTATCATGTGCATGGTGTGTCAATCCTAAAATAGTACGGAGTATCATTTTATTTATTAATAAATTAGATTGCACAGCTTAACATGCACATTAGTTTCGTTTTTTTTTGCATTCGAACATTAATGGATTCTTCTCTACTCTGTCATCTCTGTGATTTGATTCTCATCTTTCTTCAATGGACTTTTCTGTCGATGATTCAGTTCTTGTGAATTCGTGGATTAAATTCCACGATATTTTTTCGGGGTTATGTCTTGGATATTACTAAAAATTGGATGGTTTCCAAAAAAGTGACCTTTTCCCTTAATTCTAAAAAATGTGACTAATCTCAAGTGACACTATTACAGTTACACGATACTCCGGTCATAGTGACATTGGTTACAGTGACGTTGCCGCAATAACGGCGCCATAGCGACTAGGGGTGGGCATAACGGTTTGGTTTAACCGAAACCGGACCGTATGTAATTGGTTTGAGTTTGGTAGTATTTCTTCCAAACCGTATTAAACCGAACCGAAACCGATAAAAAACGAAGTAAACCGAACCGAATTAAAGAAATTCAAAAAAACGAACAAATTTTATTAAAAAATAACAAATCCAAACCGAACTAAACCGAACCAAACCGAAAAATAGTATGGTTTTTGTTTGGTAATAATTCTCCCAACTCATTCCAAACCGACCCGAAAACCGAAAAATACTGAACCGAAAACCGATTTACTCAGCCCTAATAATGATGCCCGAAAAGTGGATATTAATCAAATCTAGCCGCCGCCACGACAACACCGCCACTACTGCCTCCACTGATGATGACCAAACCTGCCCATCAGTGACCACCCTCCGCCATCAATCCCAGTCTGCGCCATCAGGAGTGTCCCACCACACACACAATCACTGCACCGCCACAGTCACCTCCGATGCGTGACGCTGTCGGTCGCAGGTTGAACTTTATCTCAGACCTCCCAGCCCTGTCGTTGCCAAACAAGACAACACCAACCGTACTCTGCCCCAGATCTAACCATAACTGTTGTCGAACCGTCGTCGGAGATCTGCATCAGTCAAGGTGGCGCGCCTCAACATTAACTCCCCTGCCCCAACCCCCTAATCCCTGTGACCTCCAACCATTTGCGCTAGCCCCATTGGAAATTCTAGTTGTGCGCCACTAATTCCCACCAACATCCACCATCGATGACGTCCACCGCTAGAGGTCGTCATCTCCGCAGCCAATCGCCGATTCACATCCAAATCACAGACAAGAGAAAGAGAAGAAGAGGAAGAAGAAGAATTGGGATGGCAGGTGACGATGGTGATAGTAGAAGCGGTGGCCAGTGGTGGGAATCTCAACACAGAGAAACGGAGGGGGGTGTCCCCAATACAGAATTTAAATGATTCTAAAGGATTGTGGATTCCATAGATTTTAATAGAATTCGACAGATTCCATGAAATTCATATGGAATTCTATGAATTTCTATTTTGTAGAATCATATGGATTTGAATAGATTTTATATCCATCTCCGACCTGGCCCCTAACCCCCACAACCTTTCTCTTGTACATTACGCATCACATAAAATAATTCAAAATCTTTTCCTTCTTCTATGATAATTAAAAAAAACAGAACACATACATAAAGTATGTATTGCATACAACTGCGTGGCAGATTAATAATTTGTATTGCATAAAGCTATAAAAAACAGAAGCTGTAATATACGAAGATGTAATATGCACCTCAGGCCCACCTGGGTCCAAACCCATCTCCTCCAACTTGTACGAAGTACTATATGTTTTTTTATCCATTTTCATTTTTACTTTTGTGTTTTTTAAGGGTTTGGAATTTCTCCAATCCTTCTCTGTACCACTACTTTGATCTCAATAAATTAGGCAAGTGAAACCAGACAGTTGCCACACCTAAATTGGTGATTTTCGAGACAAAAAAAGTACGAAGTTGTAATAAGATTACGAGAAAGAAAGAAGCAAGGTATGGTACCGGAGAACTTGAAAGATGAAGGATAGCTTGGAATATGTAAGAACACAAATGTCAAATTAAACTGCGTAGTGTGAGTGATGTTCGTGCGAGTGTTTTTAAGAGATGGATTTGGAAATCCGATGGGTGTGGGTAAGATTGTTGGTAGATTCATTTATTCAAGTTTTTGCCTTAAAAGTCCATCAAAGTCTTTCACAATCCATTAAAATAAAATCCATGAAATGTTCGAGGATACCTAGATTTTAATGGATTCCATATAAATCTAAATTGAGGATGCCTGGATTTTAATGGAATTCTAAACTCCATTAAAATCCATATTGAGGACACCCCCCCGGAGATGAAAGCTTGGTGCGGCAAGTGGTGACTTATGGCCTGCGAGGAAGGAAGGCGTAGAAGAGATTGTCGGGCAAGGAAGTAAGGTGCGCAGGGATGGATCATTGGGCTGGATTTTTTTAAGCGGGTCATATTTTTGTCAAAGTTTATAATGATCATATTTTTGTCAATTCAAAGTCTATAGGTAAAATTTTAGGCATTGTTTCTATTTTTTCTTCCAATATACTACATGTGTCCCACTAAGTTTGGGACAATCTCGGGCCATCGTAGGCCAGAAGTAACCTTGAACTATGAGCCTTCGGGACATGGAGAAGAGTCCCTGGTGAGCTGAGCAGGTGCCGCTGTGTACCTCCTCCATTGCA